TGTAAGTACCACCAATGTGAAGGCCTTCTACGATTTTTACTTTTGCTCATTTTGCCTAATATATGTCTGTTGCTACTAGTCATCAAGCACATCCTTTTTTAGAGCTAAGTAGTACTCCATAGTTTAAAATATCACCTTTTTATCCATTCTCAGTCAGGCTGTTTCCAAGATTTCACTATTACAAATTGTGCTGCTATAACCATGGGTGCACATATGTTGCTGTGCTATGATGTTTTTAATTTTACTGCAAAGATATCCAGAAGGGGAATAACTGAGTCAAATGGTACCTCCAATTCTGTTTTTTTGAGGAATCGCTACATTGATTTCCACAGTGGTTGCACCAGTCTACACTCCAGCTGACAGTGGAGAAGCTGTTTTTTTCCTCACAGCTCCTCTAGCATTTGTTAATGGTTGATCTCTGAATGATAGCCATTCTTTCCTAAGAGAAGAGGAATCTGAGTGTTGTTTTAATAACTAGTGATGTGGAACACTTTTGCACATACTTATTTGTATTTCTTCATCTGAGAAGTGTGTATCCACCTCAGAGGCCCATTTTTGGACTGGGTCTTTCAATTTGGGAGGTCTAATTTTTTTGAGTTCTTTATGTGTTCTTAATAATAATCTTTTCTCGACTTCCGGAAGAACATGGCAGATAGATAGCAGCAGCTACGGAGGCCCTCTGAGATACCCTGGTTAAGCTCCAGGAATAGTGTGGTACGAGGAGTCCTAAGCAAAGGAGATACACCCTGCCAAGCCAGGAATGAACTAAGCTAAGAGAAACCAACTGGAAATCCAATCCTGGTGCTACAACAGGAACAGATAAAATCTCAGCGCGGAAGCTAGAACCTGCACCACTGGAAGCCACGATTTGAATTTCCTGCTGCTGCTGCTCCATCCAAATCTGCAGGGCAGGGAGAGAGAAGTGCGAAAGCTCTGAGAGCGGGAATCTGCGAGCTGAGTTGAGAGCAAGACTAGCAGGGAGCCCTACATCGACTTGCAGTGAGTGAGCAGAACGGGGCCCTTTCATAGAGTAGGAGGCTCCATCAAAGGACATACTGGGACCGGGCAGACCTGCCAGAACAGGGTGCTATAGTGACATTAGTCACATATTCCCCTCTCAAGCGGGATTGGTGGGGAGTGCCTGGCCTGCGTGACACCGCTGACAAAGACCCAGTAGACTAGCCCAAACCAGGTCCCAGCGCCTGGAGGTGCACCCTAGTGGTGAAGCCTTCGGTAGGCTGACCTGGAGGGGTGGGCCCAGCAGAGGTTGCCCAGGTCTGTGTCTCTCTAGTACACTGCAGTGGGTGGGAACACCTAGCCAGTGCAATTCAAACAAACTATAACAGAAAAAGAGAAAAAAATTGGGCCTCCTACATTCGCTTGTATGGAAGGAACAAAAAGTATGGAAAGAGGAAGCAACAAGAAAGGGTCCTCAGTCCCCAATCCTGAGAACACTGATCCAGGAAAGGGAAACGCAAAGGAAGTCAGAAAACATGCAATATCAGACACGGCACCAACAGACATAAAGCGGTATCTCCAGAGCCTCATAGATGAGTTTAAAAATGAAGTATTTAACGAAATAAAGCAAGATATAAGTAGAATAGTTAGAGAAATGCTAAGCACCGCCCAAGAAAAAACAGATGGTGGAATGGAAGAACAGGAAAAAAGGAGAGAATTGTTTGATGGAGAAAATACAGAAAACATAGAATGCGTGAAGCAGGTTCAAAGAACCTGCTTTTAGTTCAAAGGAAACTAAAAACTATCGAAAGCTGGCATAATACCTTGAAAGAAACTAAGGATAGATTATCTGAACTGGAAGACAGATTTGTAATGTGGGAGCATGAAACGAAAAACTTCTGAAAAATAACAAGAAAACGAACAGCAATAATACAAAGGCTAGAAGATGATAAGAGGATCTATAACTTAAGAATTAAGAACATAAAAGAAGTAGGGACACAAACAAATGGACTACAAAAGCTATTCACAGAAATAATCCAAGAGAATTTCCCTAATTTAGCAAAAGGTGGGGCTGGGGATTTAGCTCAGTGGCGTAAGCACCTGCTTTGCAAGCAGACAGTCATGAGTTTGATCCCTGGTACCGATAAAAATGAAAAAGACAAAAAAAAATTTTAGCAAAAGGTAAAAATACTCATATGTATGAGGCATACAGGACCCCAGTCACCTACAACCCAAACAGAGCTACACCAAGCCATATAATAATCAAAATTCCAGAAATCCAATATAAGAACAGAATACTAAAAGCCTAGAGACAGGAAACAGATCACTTACAAGGGAACACCCTTCAGAATTACAGCAGACTGGGCTGGGGATTTAGCTCAGCAGCATAAGCGCTTGCCTTGCAAGCAGGCAGTTGTGAGTTCAATCCCTGGTACCGATAAAAAGGAAAAAGACCAAAAAAAAAAAAAAAAAAAAAAGAATTACAGCAGACTTCTCGGCACAAACCATCAAATCACGAGAAGCATGGGGGGAAATAATTCAAGTTTTGAAAGATAACAACCTCCAGCCAAGATTGATATATCCTACACAACTGTCCCTAGAAATTGATGGAAAAACAAAGTGCTTCCAGGATAAAGAGGAACTAGGGGAATTTGCAGTCACCAATTCAACTCTACAGAGAATACTGCAGGATATTATAAAAAAGGAAAATACCAAGATTCCAGAAACAGTGGCAGAGAGGCCACAATGAATGGAGCAGAAAGCAAAATGAAGAAGACAAACTGACAACAAACAACAGAAAAAGAGCTCAACAGAAATGAGGCAGAAAAGATCAGATGGTAGGAACAGCTATTTTGGAGAAAACAAGATATCATAATAGCTAGTTCTGACTTAGTATCATCTTGCTTTGAAGTCCCATCAAGCTTTTATTATTCTGTCTCCATCAGTCTTAACAGGTTGTATCTTATTGGATTTTATTATATGTGACAATATAAGCAAAAACTTTTATAGACAAGGAGATTATACAGAAACCATTGTTCATTTTCTGATAGTTGGTTCTAAATACCCTGTAATACTGTCATTCTCTTGAATGGTTTTACATTGCATTGATATGTTTGGTGCTACAGTATACGAAGTTATACTCAAAGATTTCAAGGAAAGAGACACTATGGTAACCACTTTTATGTCAGGATATTTTGTGGTAAAACACTATTTTGCTTAAATGGTTATGTTTTGACCTGCACTGTTTTGTTGTTATGCCCTCTTTCATCTCAGTCTCTTTTTTAATTATTTACTTTTTTATTTTTATCATTTTAATTAAGGGAAAAATAAAAAAATAGGATACATTATAGTAACATACTTTGATTTCCTATTAACTTGATTTGAAACCCTGTGTAGCCCTCACCATCTTGCTTTGACTGATTTTCCCCTATTCTGTTTTGCTTGATAGTACCAAGTTCAAAAGTATAGGCAAAACTGTAAAGACAATAAGATTCATTATGACGCCCATTCCGGTTGACTATTATCTTCTTTTAAAGTCCTGTAATGTCTCCAATGTTTTGGTTTTATTCTTTACTGTTTGTTCAATTTTATTGTAACTGATGATATAGGCAATTCTTTTTAAGATGGCAAGAGGCAGTATGGTAACCATTGTTGACCACCTGGTATTTTGTTTTTACATTATCTATTATGTCCATCCTTTTGTTCTGTTCTGTTATGTCACATTTGGTTTTACTCTCTTCAAAAAAAAGTAATAAGAGCTGTGGGAATAATAAAACCCAAAATGTGTAATTGTCATTGTACAAAAGAGAGGAAAAGAAAGTGCTCTAAAGGATATAACTGCATATACATTTAAGTGTATAAGATAGATAACCATATTACTGAGTTTTGTTGGATCATTGAACAAAACTGTTTGCAGTCTCACTGTTTGAAAGTCCACTTTATATGCTTTAATTTTGTAATTTAAACAACTATTTCTAATATAACAATATGTAATCTATTAACTAGTGATTTCCTGTTTATTTTTTCTGAAATTCTGTATAACTTGTACCTTTTTTCTGTTTTTTTCTTTTTCTCCTTAAATAAATAAATAATAATAATAATAACCTTTTGTCTAAGGGACAGCTGGGAAATACTTTTTCCCATTCTGTGGGTTGTCTTTTCACTCTTTGATGGTTTCTTTTGCTGTGCAAAACCTCTTTAATGAGATCCTAGTTGTTGATTCTTTGTGATAGTTCCTGTGCAGTCAGGGTTTTATTCATAGTCTTTGCCTACACCAATGTCTTTAAGAGTTTTACCTATTCTATCTTCCATCATATTTAGTGTTTCTGTTTTAATATTTATATCTTTGATCCATTTTGAATTTAGTTTGGTGTCTGGTGAAAGATATGGGTCCAGTTTTAGTCTGACACGTGCAGAACCAGTCTGTCCAGCACCATTTATTAAAGAGGCTGTCTTGCTCCCAGCGAACATGTTTGTTACCTTTGTCAAAGATGAGGTGGCACAGTGTGTCTGGAGTTGTTTCTACATCTTCTAATCTATTGCATTGATCTTTAGGTCTTTTTTTTTTTAATGCCAGTACCATGCTATTTTTATCACACCAACTTTATAGTATAATTTCAAGTCAGGGATTGTGATGCCCCCTGTCTTGTTGCCCAGGCTTGCCTTTGCTATTCTGGGTCTCTTCTGAAGTTTAGGATTGTTTCTAATTCTGTGAGATACGCTAATGGAATTTCAATTGGGATTGCATTAAATCTGTATAACCGTTCTGAAAGTGTGGCCATTTTCACTCTATTAGTTTTTCCTGCCCAAGTGCAAAGAGTATCTTTTCATTTTCTGACATCCTCTTCAGTCTCCTGACTTTCCTTGACCTTCCTTGCAAAATCATTTTTTTGTCGAGTTTTGTTTTTTGAATGATCCAGAGCTTTATAATGATGAATACACTGTGTAGTGGTTGCGTGTTCAAATTAAGTTCATTAGCTTTTTGTCCGATTGAAATTCATTAGTTTTACAATCATGGCATTTCTATTTCTTTTATTTTCTAGAAAGAATTAGAGAAACAGAAAAGAATTAAGAGGAATAAAGAGTTGGAAGAAGCAGCTGAAGAACATTATAAAAAGATCTTGCTAAGGAAGAAAGGTCTGGAGCCTTGGAAGAAATTGAGGCAGCAAAGCAGACAAAATGCGCAGGTACCAGGCCACACTGTTACCGCCTCCAAAATTAGAATGTGGACTTCTCCAAACAGCATGAGTACTCAGGTGTTGCAGGAAGTTGGTGATTTAAAATCCATAAAGATAAATGATTTGATGTGTATATTTCTTCATTTTGGAAGAGTTTAGATTTGGTCTTCTAAAGACTTGTAACTTAACAAGTTGGAAAAGCCAGATAAATTTTTAACTAGAGATATCCCAGGTCAGATGAATAGAGGCTCCTCTCCATTTTAGCAATGCTTTAAAAGCAGAAAAATGTATAGGGTATGTTAGTCAGGTTTCTGCTGTGATAAAGTTGCATAACAACTAACTCCAAAATAGCAAACTCTAGTATAACTTAAATATTTGAGTATACTCCAGTTTATTTTTTCATTTTTGTTGTTTTGAGACAGGATCTCACTGGGTAATTCAGACTGGCTTTTGAACTCACTGTGGAGCCCAGGGTGGCTTTGAACTCACAGTGACCCTCCTGCTTCAGCCTCTTAAGTGCTAGGATTACAGGCGTGTGCTACAATGCATGGCTCAAGTATTTATTTCTCACATGCATAAAGGCCAGTTGTGAATTAGGTTCTGCTTTGTCCTGAAGCCTTGTTCTGGGTCCAGCAGGTACTTAGAGTATGCAGTTCACCTGGCAACTGAAAGACATACAGATTCTATAAACCCATCAGAACCTCCAAAGTCCACTAATATTTATTGAACAAAGCAAAGCACAGGGCCAAACTCAAGGTTACTGAGGAAGGACGGAGGCACAGTAAAGTCACACTGCAGAGTACTGGTATACAATTCTGTCATAGCGAGCAGTATCCACTCTGTAACAGATATATGAAATCAAGCACTGTTTAAACTTCTGAAATTTCCTCTTTATCTAGTGCATAGATCAGGATAATCAAGTAAATAATTAAGCTGTCCAAAATAGATGAAGTGATCTTTCCTTTTAGCTTCCAGGCTGGTGTGTTCCCCCAGAGTCCCCCTGTAATGGTCATTTTGACCACTACGGATGACTTCTAAGAGGTTTCCTTGGATGAGATGTACACAGTACTGGCTGGCTGGACGAGGCCTAGGGAAAGGTTATCATCATCAGGAGAGGACTAAGACAGATTCCCTCTCCGTTCTCTTCAAAGAATGTAACTTTTTAAAATCTGTGAACTCGGAATTGTATATTTTGATAGACTGATACTCTGAGCCTTTTAAATTGGTAAGATTAAATTATTAATGTTAATTTTCTACCAGTGGTTTTGTGGTTTATTGATATTATCTTAATTTCAGTGCTGGTGACAGTTCATTCTACAAAACTAATTGAAAGTATTGGCATTTCCTGTGATAGATGTGGTTAAACACATAATAAACAAAGGGCTGTGATGCAGTTATTGTCCAAGTTCCGGACAACAAACCAAGAGTGTCTCCAAGTACCCACTTCAAAACTCAGTGGAAGTGGTAGCTTTGTTTATTCCATTTCCATAACCAGCCAGTCACTGCTCATCAGGGAGCTGGCATGGAAAGGCCATCCGTGGCTTCACTCTATACCTCCGTATGATAATGTAGTAGGGCTTGTAATCAACACTTTTAGGACACAGAACTATATACAACTGGAGATTATTATTCCCTAGTAACTGCCTAAATGTGATACGTAGTAATGTTTTGCAAGCTGGCATGTTTTCTTAAATGATTTAAAATTTAAAGAATAATTTCCTTTTCTTGTTTAAAAAAAATACATAGATGGCAGAAAAGCACCACTCCTCGGCTCTCCAGAGGAAATGTCTGCTGGCCTGGCTCCAGTGCAGCCAGGAAAGTCTGGTGAGGAAGACGGCGCAGGCTGATCAGTGTTACTCGCAGCGATTGCTCAGGCGAGTCCTGCAGAGTTGGCTCCAGGTAAGGCCACCGGGAGCACTTCAAAAGTCTCCATTAAACCTTCCCCGAGAAAACCACATACATCCCAGGATGCCCATGGTCTTTGGTGTATTTTCAAGAACAGTATAGAGTAGTGGACCCAGTTAGTTGTTTGAACTGAATTTGAAAATGTCAAATCAGTCTGTTATAAAATCTTAAGCATGTGTTTTTATACGCTGTACATATATATAAACTGTAACATATGATATCAACTTTTATTTTTATGCCAACTGCCTGGTTATCTTCTTACACTGCTTACATGATTTCAGTAGAAACCTACCCCCTCAGTCTTACACCTGTTTTTATTCCTCTGTTCCTGTCATTTTTATAATGCATCACAAAGGACAGTCCTGACTGCCGCGTTGTCCTTTTCTCTTTATGCCACCAGCAGCCTTTGTTTCTGTTCTGCACGTTTGTTTCAGCTCTCTTGTACTGTTCATTTGCTCTCATTCTTTGTCTACTGATATTATTTGTCTCATTTTTGTGGCTGTCCTCCTCCCCAGTACGTGACTGATCTGGAGGAAAAAGCAAGACAACTCTGTGTGCATTTCCTTCAGAAGAAGATTTTCAGGACCTGGTTTCTCATGGTCACAGAGGCAAAGAGAGAGTCTCAAAGCAAGCACGAGGTTGCAGTGGGACATCACGACAGGTGAGGTTTCTGGCCCCACAAATCACAGCTTCCCTGGTTGCACAGCTGCTCTGCAGTGTATTCTGCCCCTGGGACACGTCTGAAAAGACGAGGGGGAAGGTTGGCGAGCAGGCTCGAGACACTAGGCGGAGTGGGAGCCCGAGCCTGGCACTGATGACGTGGGTGAGGGCCAGACCGTAACCCCCAGGGTGCCAAGGTTCCTGTGTTTAAAGTGAGGAGGAGGAAGAGGCATAAATGTGAAGCCCATGAAGCAGACCTCAGGGAATGTAGTGTCTTTATGAATCATATGGTGTTTTGTCAGCTTTTTAAAACCATTATTTATTGTGAAGTATAACACAAAGTGCATACATCATACACATGCAGTTTAAATGAATTATTAAAAAGTAGACCCCACTGGCTGAATCCAGGCAGTGGTACATCACTGTCCCCAAGCCCAGGTCCTCCTACAGGTCAGCTGCTCTCCTGACTTGTGCAGCCGACTCTTCCTTGCATTTCTTTTAGCTTTTCCTAGGCACGCAACCTTCAATGCTATAATTCAGTTTTGATTCGTTTTTAATTTTGTATATGTGAAATCACATCGTATTAGTATTTAAAATAGTTATTTTATTAAATCCAGTGTCTTGGGAAATAAGGTAGTCCATATAAGTAAGGTTTTTGTTTTCTAATTTTAATCATTTTGGACAGAAATGTTTCGAATGCTATTATGCACTTCCCTCTGAGGATAAACAATTCCCTTTCTTGACGATTTGGTGTTATTCCTTACAAACATCACTCGGCATGGTGGGTGTTTTCAGTGAAGTCTGTGGCTTATAAGCTGTCACGTAGAAGTGCCGCCTTTCTCAGTATCTGCACGTTTCTTTTTGGTTGTTTTCATATGCACATGCACAGGCACACACACTTCGCTGCTCTATAGAATAGTTTTCTTTCTTGGTACACTTTCTTGCCCTCTCCTAGAAAATACTGATTGTTCTTGTTTCATTTATAGACACTGGAAATCAATGGTTTGGAACAGATAAACAAGTTGATTATAATTCTGTCTAAATTAAAATAAATACACAGAAAGTCAGGCTATTCAGAGGACTTGTCTTTGAATGAAATGCTTCAGCTTTAAAACTTAGGAGGCAAGGACTGGCTCAGTAACAGTATCTGTGTGTCCTGGTTACATAACCTTTGTAAGTCTCCCTGCTCCTCCTGATAAGTTAGGGCAGCCACAGAACCTATCTTAGGGGATCACTGTGGAGACCAAACAGGTAACATACTAATGTACTTGTGCAGTGCTTAGCTCAAAGGAAGAACTAAGGACTGTTTTTGTTTACTGTAGTATTTCACATCCTTTTTTCACCTGCCTTTGCTTTGTTAGCCCTGTTCCCAGAATGAGCTTCATTTATCTGATCACAGTACAACCCAGGGGGCAGTCATGATTTTCATTTTCAGGCACACAGGTGAATTGCCCGAAGTATGCAAATTACAAACAGTGCTCTCTGCCCTCCATGCCAAGTCTTTTGGCTCCAAAACATCCTGTTCTTGGTCTATCAGTCCTCCTTCCATTTTCCTAGTTCATCATCATCTGCAAACGATAAAATGTAATAGTAACATAGTGTTCTATTCGGGTTTGAAGTCAGGAAACAGACATAATTCACCCAATCAAGAAATAAAACTTCAGCCAGAGTCTGCTTGATTAGAAGCAGGGAATGCTGTGATTTCAGCTCTTCTTGGCTTGCTCTCTTGCCCACCCTGTTCCTGACCCACTGGCCTCCTCCACTGTTCTCAGACACACAAGGCTCACTTCTGCTTCAGGATATTTGCATGCCTGGTCTTTCAAGTCAGCCAGCACGGATGAGCCCCATTAGCCTACCTTCGTGACTGCCTGTCCATTAAGCGTCCCTGTCCCTCCGGGGTGTGGGGCAGAGCCTTTCAGTAGGTAAAACAGTAGGAACTAAACTGCAGAAGTCAGAAAGCAGGGCATAGCTAGGAAGACAAGATGACTAGCAGGTTAGAGTGGAGGCAGAGTCAAAGAATGGGAGTGAATGGTTCTCAAGAGGAATTCAGGAAGCTGAGGACTGTGGAGTGGGTGGGGAAACACTGACGGCCGGGAAGCAGATCCACTCCTTGGAGCCCTTTTTTTTCTAAGTGAGATTTCCACCCACAAAAATCAACATTATCTCAAAGTGAAACAGCCAAGAGCTATAAAGTTAATGAGGACTGACATGCGTTCCGGAGCTTTGTTAGCTGGTTAAGAGGCCAGAACAAATCCCCTTCCTCCTGTCTCTAGTTCTGAAAACGTAAACCTGACTCTTGTGCACTTCTGTCTCAACAGCCTAACTCCACTTGTAACCCTTTGCACATCTCTGCTACTCTCACTGCTTTCCCTTTACTCTAGTCATGCCCTCTTCTGGGAAAGGCTTTTCTGTGCCTAAAACTCAGCATAGACATTGTGGCCTTAAGAAGCCTGGACACTCATCTCTGACTGCTTCTCTTCCCTCTGTATTGGAACTGTTTGGTTTTACTGCCACCTTGGACACGTCTACCAGGCTCCTAGTGTTCCGACGGCTAGGCCCTGATGCATCCTCCAGGCCACCTGTGCTTTCCTATGCCTGCAGATGCTCTGCTCCCGTCCACAGCCCTCCAGCACCAGGCTTCCACAGTCCAGCGGTAGAGCATTTTCTCTCCACTGGAATTTCTCAACTCACTGCTGTAGCTGAGATTACCAGCAGGCTTTGCACATACGTGGCCTTGATGCCAGCACTTCTGGCACATGTTCCATGCTGTTTCCATTGTCTTTTTGCCCCGAGGGCTGTGGCTGCCCATACCTTGGCCAGTTTCACAGGCGCTGGTTTGGACATTGTGCAGGCTGTGGTCAAGCTAACCAAGGAGTGTCTCACACACTGCAGTATCAAGGGCACCGGAGGCTCTGCCCAAATTCAGTCTCCTGAACTTCCTCTGACCACTGATGGAAAATTGTCACTGTCATCCCCTCCTGTTACTTTCTTCATAGCATTTCCCTCTTTGAACTCAGTTGTGTTTTCTACACCCTTTATATGTTTTATTCAGAGTTATGTCAATAAAATTTTTAATTACTTAAGCTAGAAAGTCAGCTTACCCTTAGAGTTTCACTTTCCACCCCCTTCGTTCTTAAAGGAAGATTCTCAGCATCGCGTTTCAGACATGGAAGAAGTTTGTAAAATTGATGAAAGAAGAAAAAGTAAAAGAAGAAAGGCGAGAGCAGCTCCGCAGAAGGGTAGCGGAGATTCTTCCCGACTTCCAGATGCTGGCACCATCGTGACTCTCGCTGTACGTCATCAGATACTTGGCCTCGAGTAAGATGTTTGATACACCAGTAAACGCAGACTAATGCAATGCTTGGGGTGGGACCTTGCTGGGCTCTGGGTGTGTGTATAAGTTAGCTCTACCCACCTGCATACATACTTGCAGGTGGTTTATTTTCTGGTAGAAACTGTTTTGGGTACCTGTACTTTCTTGATTTCACTAGGATTGGTAAGCATTCACTGTAGCACTCATTTACACAGTGGGATCATCCAAAGGAACCGTGTAGAGCAGCACTGCTCAAATGGATCCTATGTACTTTCGGCATAGCACACTTTAAAAAGGACAAGCAGTTACCTGCCTGGGCTTGTGAAGAGAAGTATGTGTGTCTGTGGCTTCATCGGAGCCGTTAAAACTTAAAAAAAAGAATAAACAAAAAGTATTGAGTACTCAAAAAAAGAGACATAGGACAGGCACTTCCAAGAGGGCCAATGTGTTAGCACCTGCACCAAGCACCCCGCAGAGCTAGTCCTGGCAGGCCCTTCCTCCTCCTGCAAACCATGTATCAAAAGCTACTCTCCACAGCTGCTGCAGAGAGTAGTGGCTTATCCTGATTCCCACCTGAGGCACCAAAGATACTTCATGTGAAGGAAATCCCTAAAGCTAGTAACTGTATCAAGGACAAGCCAGCAACTCATTACAATACCTGGTAAGTTACAACTTCTAAACAACTCACTTGATTTGTCTTCCTGAGTTTTATCTAGATATTGAAATACTTATCTTGAACTGAAAGGTTTTAATATTTAAGGTGGTCTAAAGACTGATAAAATACTCTTGTCTGTGAATTTTGAGAGAATGACCCACTGGAAGAGATTTTTTTCATTATAAAAAGCATATTTATTATAACAGTCAAGTTCAGAAATGAAAACAAACAGTAAAGAGAGAAAAGCCCTGGCAAACTGGAAGTAACTATTATTTGTTATGTTAGAGATTTCAATTGGTAAAATAAAAATCTGGTTTTTCAAATCAAGGTGGATGTTCTGATCTCTTATTTCCACTACCAACAAAATGACATAAGCCTTTTATTCACAGAAGATATGCAATGAAGTATAAAATACCCAAATTGAACTTTACTTCTCCAATAATCTTCCCCTATGTACATCTTTTCCTTTGACTATATAGCTGGCATTAAGAATTCAAGTGTTTTTAAGACTAATGGTCATTAAAGAAAATGGCAAAGTAATTCATATTGAATCTCTTTCCATCTAAACCACTTTTATACTCAATCACAGCACAGTTACCAAATATTGGCTGATATTGGCACCTAAAAACAAGTACATTATTAACGCCAGCCCTGTAGATAAGAACGAGTAAATTCTTAAGTAAACATGTAATGGACTAAAGTTTTCTTTCTTAAGCTTTGTTTTTCCCTCATGTCAAGTGTCTTTGGAAGTCCACTGTGACTGGGCCACCTAGACTTTTACCTACTTCTAGAACCACCTACAAAGATTGAAGGACAATAATTCTGATGCTCTCTCTTGCTGGACAATCATGAAGATGTGCTTTGAAATATTACTGCTAATACAATACCCAAATAGGCAGTATCCTGACCCACAAAACTAGAAGAAACAACCATCTGAAAAGTCACATCTGAAGGCCAGCGAAGGCCCACCAGATGGGGACAAAGAGGCAGCTATAATACAGGGTTTCCCTGAAGTAAAAGACTGTAACAACAGAGCAAGACATGCCAACTATCTTCCTTAAAGAAAGCACTTTATTTTCCATTTTAATAACCTGGTCACAAGACATTGTTTTATGTACAGAAATGGCAGTTATTTGTAAAATCTCCAGTTAAAAGGCTTTGAGTCTGTCTTGGGTGATAAGAGAATATGAATACAAGTATAAAAACAGTGCAAAATGTTTATCCCTCAGCCTCCAGATTAGCTCTGAAAAAAACCCTTTAATGCCGTTGGACCCGTTACATTAAATATTGAATTTAATATCTAATAATTAAGCCTTAACAACTGAAGCCATCAAATCACTCCGACCATAAAATCACAAGTTGGGCGCTCAAGCTCTGTGGTATCTTGTCAGTGGCTCCACCTGAAGGAACATACAATTTTAGTTGCATCAGTAATTAGAATTTCTAGCTCTGGTTTTAAAGCTTTGACTTTTGAATATGAGTTTCTGGAGGTGAAAGATGCCATCAGGAAGGTTAAGTACTAATAAGTCGCGAGCCCAACAACCTCAACAGCCTCTAAGCAATCAGTCTCCATTAACCATGAAGTCCTGGCCTGCTGCTCAGCCTACAGTGCAATACTCAGTGCCAGCCGAAGCATGGAAAGTGGGCCTTAGCAGCAGGATTAAATTTAGCTGATTCTGCAAAAAGTTGATATTGATCACAGCAAATATCTACAGGAACATACCGAATTTATTTTTGTTAAGCTTAGCATGGCTTTCATTCACCCCTGCCTTGTCTTGCAGTATGTAATATCAAATGGCACACGTGTCAAGGTGCTGAAGAAACTGGATTCCCATAGCTGCCTCAAGCAGAAGTCTTATCATCCATTGCTTATTTGAGAAAATTCTCCTTTTTTTTTTCGGTACCGGGGATCGAAAAATCCTCCTTTTCAAAATCCAGGTTACCAAAATATGGCTAAAATGAAGTTAAGTTATATAACGCTACTTATTTAAAGAGATTCTTAAATCTCACAAACATTAATTTTTTTTTTTTTCTTGAGACAGGGTCTCTCTGCAGTTTGAGCTGGCCTTGAACTCACTTTGTGGCCCAGGTTGGTCTCAAACTTGCAAGGATACTCCTGCCTCAGCCTCCCAGATGCTGAGATTACAGGCATGTGCCACCATGCCCAGTTAAAACATTAATTTTTAAACATCTCAGTTAAAACTGTGCTTTTAGATGTTTTAATTTTGCTCCTGTTAGTTCAGCTTTATAATAAAAACATCTTACCCAAAGGAAGTCAGTCTGTGGAACAGATGCTCAGTGTTACATAGAACCTTATTGGCATTGTGTTTTCTGGCAGTGAAAGATTCTAATATAGAAAATTTTCTTTTACTAAAAATATTAGAAGTACTAAGGACTACTGCATAAGAGAAAGTTTATAGCGATCTTTCTGCTAGGCAGATGGTATGATGGAAGACAACAATCATTTTGTTCACCAAAGGAAAATACAACTTGGAGAACAAAGATCTGCAGTATCTTAAAAACAAACATGTATGTGGCAGAAGTGAAATAAGCAGCACATTGTCCTGAAAACACACTTAAGGCTTTACCTTAGCAACAGTCAGAGTAACCAGAGAAAAAGGCATTGTTCATTTGAGGGGCACCCAGCAAGAACCTGAGCACTTCGTGGGTCCCCTAAGACTCCTTTTAAGTATTCAAAGATTTTTTTCCTTTCATCCAATCTGACCTTTTAACTATTTCTCTCCTAAATCTTTCAAACAAACCCATTCTTCCCTCCTAGGACAGTACATAATGGCATGATAACAACATGACCAGTGAGAATGTAATACAGGTAATTTACTAAGCTCTACAGCAGTATGTTTCCTTACAGAGGCTGAGGATGAAATGGCCTGTTTGGAATCACATCGGGAGGGGGCCTGCATCTACGGCCGAGAGACCGCAGGGAAATTAACTGCCGCTGCCACCAGTTCATTCAGAGCAGACAGCTGATTCAGAGGCCTTGTCAAAGGTTCCACAGAAAGTTCTGCCTTCTGGAGAGAACCAAGCACTATCACAAAATTCTTCAAAAAGCTCTGGATGATAAAAGGTTCAAAAGTCTAGGCGTCTAGAATCTCTGCCAGGGAGTTGGCAGAGCCTATAAAATGATGCACTGAGCCCCCTTCCCTTTTTTCTTTTTGGTCCTTTTGGTTCAAATACTTCAAAAGGCTTTTTAGCCCTCAAAACCCAAACTCTTCCAGGTCTGAGCTTTCTTCTGTAAAGTGCCAAAATATGAGTTCTCAAGGAACTTAAAATAAGCACTGTAACTCCAATTGGTAAGAATAAAATGCAGGGGGGTCTTACCCAACCAATGCTGTTTCGGGGAGTTGTTATGAAGATGGTGAACCTTCCTGGTTCTCTGCAATGGCTCTGGCCGTTTCCTAAGACGCATCTTCATCACATCACATTTGGGTTGCTGTTAAAAACTGGGCAAGCTACAATTACTGACTACACTAATGTTTCTGTGTATTTTTATTATCAATTGCTAGAAACCAAAGTTGGCTAGTTAGCTGGCATTCAGGAGACATGAAAACTACTAATTTTTGCCTACATACGCTATCCTTGACATTATTGCTACTTATCTAAAAATCTACAGAGAAAAAAACGGGGGATACCGGCGCCAACTTTAAGTCTGAGTGAACACTTGACTCTGGGCCAAGGAGCGGGCATGACTGGGGAAACCACAGCGTCTGCTCCCGTCTCCAGGCTTAACTCCTTGCCTTGTCTCAGTGGAATACGGAGCCTATTGTTCATTAAACAGTTCATCTCTGCGAGAGCAATGACAAGAGTGAATAAGAAATGTGACAACTGTGGTAAGGACAGCCCCACTTAGTGGAGAGATTAGGGGTGGTGTTAGCTACAGAGAGAAGTGCAGGAAATAGCAGTATTTCCTCTCAACCCTTAAGAATCCATTGCTAAAGCAGCATGCACAGAATGACAGAAAAGGCTTGCAATATTTCCAATAAGCCAAGGAAAACTTAAGGATTCATGAACTGTCTTTGGGATTGTAGAATAGTACATGTATGAAACCAAACATTTCAAGAGGGTGTTTTTTCTGCATCTGAAACTCCTTCATTTTAATTCTGGGGCAGAATAGCCCACTCTATATAAATATGTAATCCTTCATATATTTTCAGTTTTGAGACATGATTAAAGTAACAGCTTGTTATTTGGGAAAGAATAAGAGAAGAATAGTAATCCATTAATCCATGGAAATCGCATACCCTGTTCTTTCTCTCCTGGTGAGCTACTTTTATGTAAGGAAGGTGAATGAGAATAATATGCAACTTAAGTGGGAAGGTGTCAATCAATGCTTCTGACAAAGTTCATGCCAGAATAATGTGAGTGCCACAAGACTGATTTTTTGCAATTTAGTGCTATAAAATGACAGCATTTGAATTACATGAACCAAAAAATCAAGCCCTTGATATTAACTAGCCTCCCTAGCCAGGAGAGGGATTAAAGTGTTCCCGGAGGAGTGTCCCCTTGCAGCCGCCACCACAGTGTGCTAGCACCTTACCAAGTGAAGCACAGAAAGAGGAAAACCACGAATGCCTCCTGGAGTCTGTTACAGTAGATCCAAAAGAATACATGAAGCAGGAAAGTAAGGTCTGAGTTCCTGACTACTTGGTATTACGCTTCATCACTGTAACCAACTGTCCTTTCAGGGTCAGGTGACTAGTCAACCATGTAACCACACCCTAACTGTAAGAGTAGTTACAATACTTAGGGAGCAACCCCCTCGGCTGTACAATATGGTATATGCTGAAATCTAATGACCCTGATAAAACTGCCTTCAGTATTCAGACCTACAAACATTTTCCCCTCAGTCTTGGGATTTCCTAGTAATACTTCATACCTCCAGTGTTTGCCTCATCCCTCCCTTGATCCTCACGCTGGCTCTGAGGTCCAGGACAGGCATCAATACCCCGCATTACAGATGAACCTGAGACTTTAGAGAGTGACTCAACGAAGGGTCACATGGCTATTAATAATTGAAAGAGGGATTAGAAACAATCCTAATCCAAAACTCTTCCCCCATACTAATGGACAAGAATTGCTTCTATCAATCTGTGCATTAGTATTTCACATCCTTTTCAAATTCTGGTGACTGAATCAATTAATAAGGTGACTAGAAAGAAATGGCTCTACTTTTACAACTTCAATATAAAAAATTCTCCAGTTGTGAAATCAGAAAACTTCACGTCAGTCCAGTCTCCAAACCTGAGCATGGCCCTGTAATGCCTGCGGGAAACCGGGGATAGCAGCGAACATTCGGTGTGGTGGAGAGGCGTGGAGGCAGAAGCTGCCCTCAGAGCTGCACGGAAGGCACTTCAGACAATGTCCTCGGCAGGGTGGTGCAATGTACTCGTGCCCAGGGTGGAAAACTGGTGCCAGTTCCGCAGGAAGCCCCTGTTATACTGGCCTGTGTCCACGATGAGCCCCCAGAGGAGCCGGCGCCCAGTCTTCTGCCGAAGGGCCTGCTGAACTTCCCTCTCGGTCACGTTATAGCTGATGTTTATCAGCTGTATCAGGAAGATGTAGGCCATGCCCGCAGTGATGGTCACAGAGTACCACACACAGGTGAAGGACAGAGCTGAGCTGTGAAGGGGAAAAGGCAGTCAGAGCTGCTGCTGTCTTTGTCACATCCACAATGCTGTCATCACCCACACATTTCAGTACTAGGGTTTAAACCCAGAGCCTTCACTCTAAACTATATATCCTGGCTCTTTTTTACTGTTTGACACAGGATCTCTTTAAGTCACTAACTGGCCCAGGCTGCACTAAAACCTGTGATTCTCCTGCTTCAGCCTCACAGAGTGCTAGTATTACAACGTATGCCACATCTAGTTATACTTTTTACTTTTATTAAAGACTTACATATCTTTTCCATCTTCTAAACTGGAGGATACTTTATCCTCAAAATGCCAATCAACAACCAGATTAAACTTAATTATAAGAATCAACATACTGTGCCTCTTATTGGTGCCTCTTTTTTTTTTTTTTTTTTTTTTTTATTTTTTCTTTTTTGCCTTTTTCTTTTTTTTTTTTATCGGTACCGGGGATCAAACTCAGGACTGCCTGTTTGCAAGGAAGGTGCTTATGCCGCTGAGCTAAATCCCCAGCCCCTTGGTGCCTTGTTGGGAGCCGCAGCCCCGAGCCCGGTCGCCTCACTTGGCGGACGTGAGGCCTGTAGTAAAGAGTGAGGCCTGAGGTAGATTACCCCTCCCATCGAATATGTTAGTTTCCTGCTTACCGCGTAAACAACCCGCTCAACAATATAGTCTGCCTGGCAACTGATGATGTTAGCCAATCAGCTTGCCTTGCTTACTTTAACATGATTGGACACTGTACCCGTATATATACCGGTGCCACCCCTGGGCGAAAGTAGAAGCCAGATAAAAGCCCAAAAGTAGAAGCCCAGAAGGAGCCGCGGAGAGCGGACCGGTAGAGGCTTTGGGGCAGACTGAAGCACAAAAGGAGCCGCGGGGAGCGGACCAGAGGAGGCTTCAGCTGGGAGAACCCAGGGCAGGCTGTACGGAGAAGAAAAATAAAAAGAAAAGGTTGTCCACTACCAGACTGTGTCGTGTGTCCTTCCTGCCGGCCGGGAGCGGACATCGACATTTGGTGGCCCGTACGGGGACTGATCACCCCCGCGACGTGGAAGTGGACAACGCTCCAGTACAGAGCTGCGAGACAGGTGAGTTGGGGATAAGCCTGGGCTCTGGGTGGCGCGCACCTACAGGGCTTTTAGACTCCCCTCAGGCTCACGCGTAAGTGGCGGATTCCTTGGGCCTCACGCGGTGAGTAACATATTAAAAAATGGGAAACATGCTAGGTAGCGGCACTAAGAGCGAGGGTGGTTGTGGAGAAAGCTCTCAAGAGCTTACAAAAGTACGCAGGGTATCTGAGCAGGCCCAGTCAGGGAGCTCCCGAGAGGGGTCCGTTAAGGGGAACAAGGATGCTAAGGAGGAGGACGGGGCTCTAGCCTCGGAGTCGTCTGACTCCGAGGACGAGGGAAAGTTGAATGGCAGGGAGGCCAAAGAGACCAGCTGTCAGGAGCCTAAGTCGCTCAATAAGGAGTCGCAGGGTTCTTTTCCAGCGTCACGCCGCAAATTGCGCTCTGCTCAACCTGGTCTGCGGAGGAGTAGAGAGCTCCTGAGTGCGCCCCGGCGCGAGAGGGAGGCGGTCCCTCGCCACGAGGCGGCCACCTGGGAGCTCCCTCCCCTTTCGCCAGAACAGGAAGTGATGCACGGGCCCCCATTTTCCGCCCAATCACGGCCGCCGTCTTATGCTCCGCCGCCGGCGGGTCGGTATTTTTACAGGCGGCTTTGGCAGGGGGGACGCTTGTCTCATGAGGTACATCCACCTGGGATAGATAGTGGCCCCTACGAGATATTTCCTGTACAAGTAGCTATGGGCCAGGGACGCAATGTATGGGAGCCTTTTGAGATAAAGCAGATTAGAGAACTTAAAAATGCAGTTACAACCTTTGGGCCGACTGCGCCTTACACCATTGCCATGCTGGAGAATCTGTCTTCTGGGCCCCTCACCCCCGCGGACTGGATTCAGCTGGCAAAGGCCTGTCTGCCCTCGGGCAGTTACCTGGATTGGCGAGCCTGGTATGCAGAGTTCTCTGCCGAGCAGGCTGAAAAAAACGCCAATCGAGGAAACCGGGGGTGGAACAAGGAAATGCTTATGGGAGAAGGTCGGCACGCTGATGACCAGGCCCAGTTCCCCGGCGCTGTCTATGAGCAAATCAATGCCATAGGGCTCCGCGCCTGAAAACAGGTAAGTGGTGCCAGAACAGCCTCCTTGTGTCTTTCAAAAATAATTCAGGGTACCACAGAGCCATTTGTTGACTTTGTGGCCCAAATGCAAGATGCTGCCGATAAGATATTTTCTGATCCGGGAGTGGCTCGACCGCTGGTAAGGCAGCTGATTTTCGAACAGTGTACAAAGGAGTGCAAGGCAGCGATAGCTCCTCATAAGAACAAGGACCTCAATGCCTGGATTAGGATATGCAGAGAGATAGGGGGGCCGCTCTCCAACTCGGGAGTGGCTGCTCTCCTGGCCGCGGCTGTACAGCAGAGGGGACCTCGCGGGTTAGAAGGGGAATATAAGGCTAAAGGGTGTTTTGCCTGCGGGGAGCCAGGACACATTAAACGTCACTGCCCAAACAATGCAGATGCTAGGCCTCGCCCTAGGAATGAAAAACCATATGTTTGTGGGCGATGCAAAAAGGGATCACACAAAGCTGAGGAGTGTAGGTCGGTCTTTGATGCTCAGGGCAACCATATTTGTGGACAAGATGCTAGAGAGCCAAAAAACGGCCAGAGGGGGCCCCCTTCACAGACGGGCCCCCGCCCCAGAGACAGGACAGCTCAGGGTGGCAGCCTTCAACAAGGGCCACCCCTGGGTCAGCAGGTGTGGACCTCAGTGTCGCCTCCAGACTTATATGGGTGTTCATCTTGTCATTTGTCACTCAGCACCCTATAATTTTTCCAAAGGTTACTGCCTCTGAGCCATTAGTCCCAGCAACTACAATATACACAGATGGCTCTAAGATGGGGATAGGCGCCTATGTGATCCTAGGCAAGCCCCCGGTTACCATACAATTTAAACCAGATCAGCCTCAGGTGGTAGAACTGCAGATCGTTAAAATGATTCTTGAACGGTTCTCAGAGGCCATTAACATTGTCTCCGATTCTAGGTATGTGGTCAATGCTATGCAAGTGCTTGAGACTGCCGGTTTAATTAGATCCACTTCCACAGTGGCTGGGCTGTTCCTGTCTATCCAGACATTGCTTCAAAACAGACACCATAAGGTCTTCACCACCCACATAAGAGCACATACATCCCTGCCAGGGCCTATGGCACAGGGGAATGCGGCTGCTGACACTGCCACTCGCCCGTTATGGATTTTTACCTTACTAACACCAATCGAGCGAGCCCGTGCCTTCCATGATAAATTTCATGTTAATGCCAGGACACTAGCAAACCATTTCCATGTTTCTAGAGCAGATGCACGAGATATCGTGCGACTATGTGACTCCTGTGCCACATACAAACCTGCCATACCGATGGGAGTAAACCCTCGAGGTTTGATCCCTGGTGATGTTTGGCAGATGGACATCACACATATACAGGAGTTTAAAACTCTTAAATATGTTCATGTTTCCACAGACACCTGTTCTCACGTCATATTCGCAACAGCAGAAACAGGTGAAAAAGTGTCTAATGTGATCAATCATTGCCTGGCAGCTTGGGCCGCATGGGGCAAACCAAAAATATTAAAAACTGATAATGGACCAGCCTATATAGGCAAAGCTTTCAATGAGTTCTGCAAAATGATGGAGGTTCAATTAAAACATGGTATCCCATACAATCCCCAAGGTCAAAAAATCATTGAGAGGGCTCATAAAAGCCTCAAATAAATTTTACAAAAACAAAAAGGGGGAGTAGGCCAAGGCCTGGCCCCAAAGGCACGATTATCCATGGCACTATTCACACACAATTTTTTAAATTTAAATAATGATAATCGCTCCCCAGCTGTGGAGCACTGCAACCCTTCCCCCAACCATAAAGGGTGGGTGAAGTGGAAAGATGTCCTGACAGGACAATGGATGGGCCCGGATCCGGTAATCAGCTGGAACCGAGGCGCGGTTTGTGTTTTCCCACAGGAATCGGGACGAGAACCACTGTGGATACCGGAGAGACTGACACGGGCAACAAAGCCCTCGACTGAAGATCAGACCTGCCCTACTGGAGATCCATCACAGACCAACCAACAAGATAAATAAAAATAGCGGTAGCCCAAAATGGACAAGAAGATCCTCAGGCATATGCATGGCTTGCTCAATTGGCCCACGACCGAGTCTAGATATGGCGGGCATCCCTCATTCTCCTCCATAAGGTGACAATACACAGCAGGGTAGGTGAGTCAATGACGGGTAAGAGCGTGCCTCCCCAGCACGACTCGACCTAAGCCAGGCCCTACCCCATCCTGCACGTAAGCCGCTGGACTGTTAGATGCTGCCCAGGTCTAAATTTCTCTCCGAGGGGATTTCTTTACAGAGAGAGAATGAGTGCAAGCTTGTGTGCATCCAGGTTCCGTCCAGTTTGTGCCTGGCCCTAGAAAAAGGACGAGGGCCTCAGGGCCTTGGCAGACCATGGGACGGCCGACCAGGGTCTAAGCCAAGGACCTACGGTGGGCCTACGCATAGGGCATAAGCCTCTGCACCCAGTCCAGGAAGGGCTACGATGCGCACATTCATAAAAAATAAAAAAGGGGGAGATGTTGGGAGCCGCAGCCCCGAGCCCGGTCGCCTCACTTGGCGGACGTGAGGCCTGTAGTAAAGAGTGAGGCCTGAGGTAGATTACCCCTCCCATCGAATATGTTAGTTTCCTGCTTACCGCGTAAACAACCCGCTCAACAATATAGTCTGCCTGGCAACTGATGATGTTAGCCAATCAGCTTGCCTTGCTTACTTTAACATGATTGGACACTGTACCCGTATATATACCGGTGCCACCCCTGGGCGAAAGTAGAAGCCAGATAAAAGCCCAAAAGTAGAAGCCCAGAAGGAGCCGCGGAGAGCGGACCGGTAGAGGCTTTGGGGCAGACTGAAGCACAAAAGGAGCCGCGGGGAGCGGACCAGAGGAGGCTTCAGCTGGGAGAACCCAGGGCAGGCTGTACGGAGAAGAAAAATAAAAAGAAAAGGTTGTCCACTACCAGACTGTGTCGTGTGTCCTTCCTGCCGGCCGGGAGCGGACATCGACAGTGCCTCTTTTTTTTTAATGTGCTGTAGAACAGCAAGGGCTGTTTTTTACATTTTGTATCCTCCACACAACCACCACTTGCTTGATATAATGGCACTCAACATATTTGTTAAATGAGTAATTCCTCATTGTGTCTAACTCAGGAGACAACCAAGTTGCCGGGAGATGATGATCCCTGAAAAACTGGTGGCTGAACCTAGGAACAGATTAAGTTTTAGTTTCCTTTCTTTTTCAGTTCAAGCTGACAAACACAAAGGTGATAACAACTCCCAACACAAAAGCCCTTCACTTAGATCTGTAGGAAACCATAACACATAAAACCAGTTTCCTAGAGGGCAGGGAAGCACCTATTAGGCTGCTATGAGACCATGAGGAGGGTCTGCTGCTTAGTACCTGCCATTTCATTATGTTCACTCAGACATTTACAAATGTAGTTGAAAACAAATCCACTAGTAAAGCTGAAAAACACTTCAGAGAGGATTACATCCAGTAACCTTCACCACACAGATGAAGGTGACATGAATCCTTTGCACAGCGTAGGGCCATGTTCTAATCTGGAACAGTCACCGTAGTACTGGCCAAGTATTTCACAACCAACTAGCCTCTCCACATGTCTAGGAAAGAATCTCAACCCCATTAGGAGGACCAGTCTATTTTAACGATGCCCATCTCAATCTAGGATGGCAGTGAGATCTGTCAGTGGACTAACAAAAAAAAAAAAAAAACACCACCCAGGGGTGCTAAGCAGAGAAAGCAGGGCTGGTTCTGAAAATGAGGGGCCCAAAGAGGACTGAGCCACAGACACCACAGACCACCCATGTCAGAGAACAGTGCAGGAAAAGGATTAAAAACACGGGTGGGGCTGGGTGCAGGGGCCGTCAAGCATGCGGGCAGCCAGGCCATTTCTGAAGAATCAGCTTTTGCAGTTGTCTGGAAATCTTCGCAATCTATCAATGGGCCCCTACCTACCAGTGCCAAGGAAATCTGACCTAGATAACACAGTAATCGTGAGTAGTGGTTAAAAAAAGAAAAGTAGAACAGGAGCAAACATGAGAGGTAAGAAAGAAAAGCAAGGTTACAGAGATGGTGACCATTTCTCAAAGAGCCATGTTGCTGCCTTGGGCACACCAGTGGTCATCTGACTCCGGTATTCACCTGTTCTCCCTGACGACACTGGGGTCTATTTGTAAAACAGAGATGCCTCACTTAATGGTCAAATGATCTTTTTGGTATCATCCTAAACAATGCACATAATCACTGCACAGTTTCATTGGCAATGTCAGGGATACCCAGCATTCCCACAGTGGGTCTGCCGCATTCTGCCTAACCCTGCAGCCCCAGGTAACTTGTAGGACTTTGCTGGGCTTCCTGATTGTGGAATCCCATCTCACCTGTAATTTGAATAAACTCCGGGACAATAGAAGAGAGCTGTGAAGACACTTCTATCTCTACAAATGGTGTCCAAGGTGAGCGTTATTCCGTACACCGAAGTGAGCAAGAAGATCAGAAGGGCAAGTATAAATGCTTGATGGTTTGATTCTCCAACGCAGCTGTTTATCCTCAAAACAGCATGGGGGAGGCAGAAGCAAACATGTTTTTAAAAGATCTTTGTATTAATTCACATAATGAAAAAAGCTTTTAAAACAAGAATACTGTAATATGAACTTCAGTTATTAAAAAGTTCACTTATTTTTTTCAACTTCAGAGAATGAACAATTTGTCCACCAAGAGACACAATCTTCTATTTGCTGCTCTTTAGAGTGAAATTCTTATAATTTGGTTGAGAACAAGATTAAGTCATTACCTGGCTGACAAATACATATAAAATTTTATGTAAATTTGTGTTTGTGTGCTGGGAATTAAATTTATAACCTCGAGCATGCTAGGCATGCATTTCTCCACCAAGCTACATTTCCAGCCTCTCTTCCTGAATATCAGTAATATGCAGTTATTTTTGTTATCACCATGCTAAGGGAGATACATAGCAGACTTACGAAAATTTAAGAAATGATAAATCTGAGTATTACAGATACAGGAAAATATACGTTAAGTATGTAAAACAATAATATGGGGCCCAAGGAAATTGGAACCATGATACGGGGTGAAGAATAACTCAAAAATATTCAGGCCATAATTATGGTAAAAAAAAAAGTCCTGTTCACAGCCATTTGTGGTGCAGGCTATCCAGGGGGTGTCTCTAGCCCTTGTATCTCAGGAGCTTTGGTAAGCAGAGGTTCCCTTTTGGAGAGGCTCCAACGCCCTCTCAAGCCAGCATTTGTAAATGGGTTGGCACACATGGGAATAAATGAGGAGATGAAGAGATGGAACCTCATGGTCACTTGCACACCCTTCTGGCCTTTCCTGCACCATGGCCTCCCTTGTCCCCTCCTGAAGAGGCATGGCCAAGAAGCATAATTAATTGACTGTGACCACCATAAGAGCAATGGTGTTAACACACTCACTGCTTATAGTATTCACTTCTGAATAATTATCCTCCCTTTGGTCACTCCATTAAGCTGCAACGTTTTCTTTAAACCTTGTACTTTGTCTCCTATGGGCCTTAAGTGTCTTCCTTTGTCACTGGCCAGCTCGAAGTGCAAAAGGCCATTTCTCTGAAATAACTAAACAGTTCACTGGCAGTGCTTCAGCTCCATAACAGCAGAAGTTATGAGTAGCATCAAACATGATTTAGGGCTGGGGGTACATGCCTGTGATCCCAGCACTGTGTGAGGCTGAGGCAGAAAGATCACTGTGAATTTAAGGTCAGCATGCACTACATAGTGAGATCTTGTCCCAAAAGCAAAAAGAAACACAACAAAAAGTGATTAAGGATGTTTGCAAGAGGATTTAAATATATATATATATTAAATATATATATTATAAATAGGGAGGAACACTTTCCAAAGCTGTGCATTCAAAAGGAGCAGCACAGAGAGATATAATGACTTTAAAAAAAAAAAAAGAAAGAAAGAAATCATTCAACTCTATTAGAAGAAATGAAGAGCAGTTCAAAGAAAACCTGGGGAGCAAAACTTTTCTGTTATTCTCCCTCAGGAAATGACTGAAAGAACTAAATTTGTCAAATCCAAAAAACTGATGACTAAGTGGGAACATCCTAACAGCCCACAAATATCTGCAAGGTGTAAAGCTGGGAAAAAGAGAAATTTTAAGATAGCACAAAGACAGACAAAATATGGCTAGAGCTGTACGTGAATTTACACCTTCTAGGCCTCCAGACTTTTCCAACATACCAGACGCAGTGATGATCCATTCTCCTCACACAGATGCCACAGATCCGGCAATGCCACGCCCGGGCTGGTCGCACCAGCTGGCACTTGGCACACCAGTCCTCCTTTGCCTTGGTGGGGCTTCCGGCCGACACCCTGGAGGAGCTCTTAAGGTCATCCTTCACTGCGCGGCTATTGAGACTGCCCAAAGGATCTGCTCCAAGGAACCCTTTGGTCTTCTCCTGCCCTTTTTTGTTCAGGCATTCGATTTGGCTGCTGCTTAGGGATGTGGCATTGCTGGCGGGACTGCTGAGGTAGCCTGGATTCTTCTTGGCTCTGTACAAAGCGAAGAGTATCAGAAATAACCCGCAGGTGAGAACAGCCAGCTGAGTGGGCCCCACACGACCTCTGGGGACCACTTCCCGCAGGAACACATAGTACATGTAGCCTAGTGAGAACAGTCCAAGGCTCAGGAAAAACAAAGTCTGTTCTTTCCTTCTGTGGGTGAGGTAGTAGTACCACAGTGCCAGCACAGGAAGGGAGGTCAGAACCACTACCCCCAGGAGGAAATGCCAGGATGCCACGTGCAGGAAGCCAGGCAGAAGTACAAGTGGCGGGATGATGCTAATATTAATTTTTTTGGCTCCCCTAAGCCAAGGAATTCGGAGGCGATCAGAAATTGTATCCATGATTCTTTCACAAGTCTCTGGCTGTACTGATTTACACGTAAACCATCTATTCAGAAAGAGCACAAAGAGAAGGCACTTCATATAGGTTTGCTGAATTAAAAACTGTATAACACTGAATGCTAAACAAAAGGACAAATGATAAAACAGACCAAAGGCCAAGCATTTTACTTCCTTACTACTAAACATGAGCTTCTCTGATTCATTATCATTTTTTAATAAGAACAAAGATAATGTTTAGAAATTTAACAGTAAAGATCATTTCTTAAACACATAGGTATATATACATACCCCTTATGTAATGTTTAGACCTAGGTGGGTACATGATCAAAAAATTCACAATGTAGCTATGCAGACAACATAAGAATTTTTAAAATACTGCATAAATTACAAAGCAGCAAAAATCATCCACTGCATTTTTATGATGAAACAATGATCAGGAGGACTCAGAGAATGCTGGGTGGAATCATCAGCGGGATCTCAGTGAAAAAGATGTGATCTCTGCTTGACCTTGACCGCCGGTCACCTGTGAGCGGAGAGACACAACCCAGTGAAGAAAAATGGGACAAAACCTGTCAGGGGCCCAAGAGAGAAACCAGTCTAGTGGCAGCCTGGCTCTGCATAAGGAGAGGCAGAGAGAGAAACTAGTCAGGGTCTGGTAATTGGTGAAAAGAATGGTGCCTGTTGACTCTTTTTGCACACCTGGAATAAGCTACAGCGTACACAACTGTTTCTCCCTCAGTGTGCGTGTTAAACCTAACCCTAGTGCATTAGTGTTAGACGATGGTGCAGCCAGGACCCTGTACTTTCGGCTACTCAAGAGAATGGCTTCACAGCAACACAGTGAGACTCTATCACCCAAAAGGCAATAGTGAGACCCTGTCACCAAAAAGAACAGAGAACAAGGAGAAAGGGGGGGGGGGGGAAGAAAGGAGGGAAGAGGGAAGGAAGAAATAGATGAGGCCATTAGAAGATCAGGTCATGCATGAGACCAGACCCCCTGTGAATGGGATGAGCACCCTTGAAAAAGACCATAGGGGCTTATCCACTCTTCCCACAGGCAAGGGCGCAGCAAGAGAGCTCCTTCTATGAAGCAGAGGTGCCTTCACCAACCACCGTATATGCTGGAGCCTTGACCTTGATTTCCCAGCCTCCTACAACTGTGAGCAACAAATACCCTTCACTTATAAATTCCCCAGTCTAAGGTCTTTTGTATAGTAACTCAAAAAGACTAAGGCAGTTATTAATGCTAAATAGTGAGGCTGCAGCTTTAACAAAACCTAAACACATACAAGTGGTTTTGGAACATGGTAATGGGCAGAGGATGGAAATCCTTAGAAGTGCAACCTAAAAAAAAAGCCTTCACTCCTGTGAACAGACCATAAAGGGCAATTCTGGTGAGGGCTCATCAAGGAGCTAGCTACAGAGAAAGAATTCAGCAAGCACTGAAGACAGTGGTGGCAAACATACAGCATGCATATTTATCACTGGAAGCTCTGAAAGTTTTGCTATCACTGAATAGTTTCGCTATCCACACACAGATGAGGTACGGACTGTAGCAGCCATTCTGATGGGGTCTCCGTGGAAAGGAGCAGCATGGCTGGAACCTGCAGGAAAGGAGATCCTTGCTGGAAAAAGGCAAAGACTTTGGTTGAGTTGTATTCATGTCCTAGTGTCTTGCAGAAGGATATTCGGTGGAAGGAATCCTAAACAAAGAGTTCAAGGCACAGCATAGATTCTCTTAGGTGCTGTACTAAAATGTGAGAACAGAGATAACTTATTATCAAAACAGAAGGAGAAACTAGACTCAAAAAAGTTCTCAGCCTGCCCTGTTACAAGAAGTCAAAGGCCACCCATCCAAAGGGCACTTCTGTAAACAACAGTGACACCTAGACAGTGCTAACTCTCGTGGTGGAATGACTATCTCCATCTAGATTCCAGAGGATGCCACAGAGCCCCCACACAGAGACCAGCACTAAGGTGTGCCCAGTGGACCCACAAAGTGGGCAGTGGAGACACAGGCCAAGAGGGCTGTGGAGCCAGTCCCCAATATGTGATGCTAGCCAAGGAGTGCTGAGGGCATTTAACTCCAACCCATGAGAGCTGCAGTGTGCGCTGCATTAGAGGAAAAACCAGCACTGTCTCAGTGTGTCTGGAAGGGGAGACATCCAGCCAAGGAATGAGAATATCCTACTACTGTCCTTGAGGCATCTTAATTTATTTCACAGGTTCACAGTCAGGCAAAAATCTACCTCAGAATGAAATGTCCTTGAGTCTTACTCATATCTTATTTAGATGACAAGATTTAGACCACACTCTGGATTTACGATTTTCATGCTGATGCTGGAAGAAATAAACATTTCTGAGGCTGCTGGGATGGAATGATTGTATTTTGCATGTGTAGACATGAATCCTGGGGGCTAGGAGTAGAATGCTGGATAACCCATTCATAACTGAAACCTAAGCCTCAATGCAACAGTACTAAGAGGTGGAGTCTCAAGAGATGATTAGGTCGTAAGGACAGAAGCCTTCCTGAATCTTCCAGAGCCTTGATCCTAGGTTTCTCAGCCTCCAGAATTGCAAGGTACAAATTTCTGTTATTTATAAACTCCCTCCTTTCAGGTGTTTTGGTATAGCAGCCTGAATACACCAGGACAGCCTTGTAAGAAAAGACACTTTAAGATAACTTTGATTTTGGATGTTTTAAAAAGTAGGATTAGAACTTAGGAATGAATGGAAGATAATCACATGGGAGTTGTGCGGCGCAGCAGTGACAGTGGGATGCGGGAAGCTCCTCTCCAGAAGAACAGGGTCTGGAGAGAGCACAGGAGGGAACCAGCACAGCCCCGCTCAAGGTCTGGGAAGGAGAAACAGCAAAGCTAATGGAAGAGCTGTGGTATTGAGTGACTGCAGTTATGGAAAGAGCATCACTTCTCCATCGTTAGTGCAAAGTGCTCCATTTTCTCAGTGACAATTTTAGCCTAAGTCTAAAAACACCTATACTTAAAGATATCAGGAGGTCATGGTGGCTCATGCCTGTACTCTCAGTGCTGGGAAGGCTGAAGCAGGAGGATCACCGAGTATGAGACCAGCCTGGGCTTCACAGCATTTTCAAGGCCAGTCTGATGGACATATGGAGTCCCTGTCTCAAAAAAAAAAAAAAAAAAAAAAAAAACAGGCTATTTAAAAAAAAAAAAAAAGACTATCAACATGGTCAAGAAAGAATTACAAAGCAGTTATGAACGGTTTGTAGGAGTCTTGTAAGTACAAGATTGTGGAGATCCCCAGGGCATGCTTTTCATGGCTAGATTAATGCCTCAAGTTCTAAATCAACATTATTTGCAGGTGCAATGATTTTTTTTTTTTGACAATACTGGGGATTAAACTCAGGGATACTCTACTACAGAGCTATATCCCCACCCCATTTTTTGAGACAAAATACCACTAAATTGCCCAGTCTGGTCTCAGACTTCAATCTTCCTGCCTCGGCCTCCTCAGTAGCTGAGATTACAGCTGTACAGAGCAGCCTCGCACCACTGCATCCAGCTGCCAGAAGTAGTAGAAAAACCAAGTTACCAACATCCCTATTTTTCCCACAGGACAATTTTTAAATACATAGGCACTTATTTATATTATCAGTTTATTAGGGTTTGATGCAAAACTTGTTCAGTAATGTTAAAAATCATCTTTTTGCATAATTTTCATCACTAAAATAATGGTAAAGATAAATGCCCAATATGATCTCATTAAGATGGTATTGCTGCTCACTCTGAAAACAGTCAATCCATGGGAGATTCATGCTTTCTGGCTGCAACAGCAGGAAAATGATCTTTCAAGGCCAGGCCCTTTGGGACCAGGTGTGACCAATCCCAGGCAGTGAGTCTATAATGAAAGACCACTACAAACGCAAGAACTTTCTGGAACAAACATATCCATTTGTAACTTACAGATTCTGCTGGTTTATGTCTTTTATACATTGAACATGCCACTATCCCTTGATCTGTCTGTTCTCTCCATCACCTCTCTTTAAAGAAAAAATGGTAGCCTTCTAGTAAACTACGCTGGACAACTGTGCACTACAGCGTAATTTTTCTTTATAAAATCCTAATTCAATTGCCATACAAAACTCTCAATTTTAAATCCTTGGTTCTACTGAATCAAGATCGAATTCCAACGTTATGGATAGCAAAGCAGAAAGTACCTACGTATGGTAGTTCTCAAAAGGATGGGTGGGGTCAACATTAGGAAACGCTCTGTTCTTACCTATCACATCCTTCATCGAGATCTTGGCAATCACACAAACAGGCAGCCATGTGGTTCTTCTCCCCATTTCGATCTATGTACTCGCAGCAGCACAGGGGCTCTAATTCAGGTTCTTCCGTTTTCTTCTTCTTCATTGGCTTCATGCTGCCCTTCGGTTTCATACCAGTCACCATGAGATACAACTCACATCTTGTAAACACATCCACTCCTCTGATTAACGCCAACGCCTGAACAACTGAAAATGAGAAGAGGGGGAGGGGATCTCGTTTTCATAAGACATCATCAGACAAGGGGTCTCCAAGTCTCCTGTTCCCTGGCTGGGCAGGCACCGTCTGGGCTCCAACCGTTTCTATGGCAACAGCCGACCACGCGCCCCGGGACAGCAGGGCGCGGGCGGTGGGTTCATTCACCTGCTGGCGCGAGCCGGGCGGACCCAGCGGTCCCCGCCCAAGGCGAGGCGCGGTGGAAACTCAGCCTCCGGGGCGCGGGGAGGGACGAGGAATACTCCCTAGGACAGGTGGGTCTGCCCCGCAGCCGTGGCCGCCAACTGGCTCGGGCTCGCGCAAATGCCATCCGGCTCCCGGGAAGCCCCGAGGTCGCGGACCAGCCCCGCTCGCCCCCGCCCGGCGGGAGGACGTGGGCAGGCCTCTAGCGCCGCCCCGCCTGGAGAATGACCTTGGAGGGAAGTTACCTGTCCTCCCGACGGAGGTGCGGCTGCCGCCAAAGAGGCGGAGACCGAGGGGAGGAAGATCGGCTCCTCCAGGGCGCGGAAGCGTTCCCCGATCCCGGCGCCGCGAGGCTCGGGGCGTGACAGCCGGAGTCTCGGGACTGAGGCTCCGCTCGGCTGCACCCTCGCCGCCGCCGCCCACCTGTGACCATGGCCGGCCCCGGCCGGGCGGTGCGGCGCCCCCGCCCGCGGCCCCGGCCGGCTCGGCAGGTCGGCGCGTGCTTCCGGGTGCCCCGCCCCCGGCGCCGGGGAAGCCCGCCCGCCGGCACGTGCGCGCCCGCCCCGCCCCGCCCCGCCCCCCGCGGGAGTGCCGATTCCGGGAGCGCGGGGCTGGCCCAGCTCGACAGCCGCTGGTGCCTGCGGGCTGCGAGTGCACGTTCGAACCGGGTCAGCGTCCGAAGCCCCCGGGCTGCGGGCGAGGTGCGGAGACGGAAATACTGGAAGCTCGAGGATTTCTTACTACGTGGGACCGCGGGTCGCCAGCCTGCTCCCAGATGCCCGCAACAGGCGCTGTGGAGCTGGCACCGAGGTACCGCCCCCAAATTCACTTACCTTCCCTTAAAGGCGCATGCCTGCTCCCAGATCTGTTGATTCTCCAACTTGTTCATTCTCTTGATTTCTGGCGAAAAGCAGAAATTCTACCAGTAGGCCTCATTAGGATTTTTGTTCCAGTCTGCAAGTGTGAATCTTCTTTGGGTTTTATTTTTGTACACATTTTTACAGACTCATGTACACGTTTTAGTTTTTATCTTAAGCAGAAAAATTACACTTTGTGTTTTATTGGCATCCAGTTTACACATAACAAGTTCAAATTTTACTAACTGCTGTCACTATACATATTTAATCTTAACTTATAAAACTTTGGTAATGGAGATTACATTACAAAATACATGTTTCAAAGAAACCACAAAAATAATTCAGTTTGTCAGTGATCGTTTTTGTAGATTTCACACAAAGTTTCAAGTTTATAATCCAGTCACTCTTGCTTACAGTCAGACACTCAAACTTCTTATCCAGAAAGCCACTGGTAGATAGAATGGTACCACTAGGTTAGCAGGGATCCATTTTCCCTCTAATCAAGTCAATACTTTCATTGCCTACAGGCATCTCAAAAATAACTTGTGTAGTAAAGCTATATAACTTTAGTGACTGGTAAAAGAAAATATTTAGTTACAGGTAATAGTTATTCAAATAGTAACAATATATGCACCAGATCTGTAGATTCCAGAGAAAGATCTCAAAAGGACAAAATAATAAACACTTCCTTAAGTTTTCCTAACTCCTGAAAGAAAATCTGATTTCAATTCAGCTCATAAAGTCCTAACTTTCATGAACCACTTTTACTGAGATGTAAATGCCTAAAAACTTTTTATGAAAGAGCCCAAGCTTGTGTGTCACTTCAGTCCATGCATCTCTATTGGGCCATACATGCCTCTAAGAGCTAAAGTTCTGTGTCTGACTTACAATTTACTAAATAAAAAAAGCAACACTCATACATAAACAATGAAGCCACCGTATGTGGCTACTAAAATCTAACACACAAACTATTTTCAACCAGATGGGTCACTCTCATGAAAGACTGCTACACTGAATCCAAGCTTAGTTCAAGTACTCATTTGATCTATATACTAAAAGTCTCAATTTTAACATAACCTTCTGGTTTTTTAAAAATCACATGATGCTTCTTCGTTTTGAGCACTGGTATACTACATATATCCTTTTCCTAAATTGACTCTTCTGCCAAATAATGTATATAAATAGGCAAGATGATTTCACCTCTGATATTTTAATAAAAAATTAACTTTTTCATCAAGACACATTGTGACTAAGGAACTTTCTAGATAACATGCATTTTCAAAACATGTGATGGCTAAATTTGCATATGAAATGTATGAAAACACTAACATTTAGAGGATAAAAACCTAGAAATGTGGATATGCCTAAAAACTGTCCTTTCAAATTGGTAATGACCATGCTTTTTATATTATCTTCTTTAGTCTCATAAACCACAACTGTGAAAGCAGTCTGTCAGATACATACTGACTCTGTGCTAACACACAAATTTAAAGGCTCAAACTGCAAACTCAACTATAGGAAAAAAACTACACTACTCAAGTGTCTCGCTTTCTTTTTGTGTAACAGAATTTCAATTCCGCAATGTTTCACAGTTCACTATGAAATTCATAGCTTAAAAATGTACATAAGAGTGAAAAAACAGAGGTCTTAAGGCCATCAGAGAACAATTACCAAATATATGTTATTAAAAAAAGTTCATATTAAAAAATCTCAATAAGAAAATAAAATATTCATAGAACAATTAAAATCCTTCATCTTCTGCTTGTCTTCCAGATGTTTTAGTTCATGAATCACTAGCTTCCAACAACCATGGCAGTCTTATTTTTATTTAGTAGATCAAAGGTTTTCTGAAGCATAATAAGTGAGCTCTTGAGCTGCAAAAGAATTTTTCAAAAATCAGATTATGTAAATTGTTCTGATTATTGTATGCCAAAAGTTTACAGTAACATTCATAAAATTTTGTTTATATAATAAACATTGAATAAAATAAAACATTGACTCAAATCACTGATTCTTTAGAATATCTGCTGTGAATATGATTGTTACAGAGTTCTTTCCATTGGCTAGAGTACTACATTTTTTTCTACTTTTTTTTTTTTTTAAACCAAGTATCAAACTCATGTTTGCCAGGCAGGTGCTGGCTGTCTGCCTACTTCTGAACAGAGGAACCCTGAATTGTGACCAGCTTGACATACAAACAATTTGGGTTATTTAAACCTTAAAGGGTTCTGGGAAAAACATTACTGTGGGAGCCTTGAAGCTAGAAATTGACCACACATGCAAGGCTGGAGCATGATCATCCCAAGAACAAAGAGTGCCTGGGACAAGCCACCTGAAGAAGCTGCTTCAGTCCAGAGAACACCTGGCCCCAAAACAATCTAAACAGTGGGTTGTTATGACAACAAGGTGTCATGTGACATTAAGTTGCTAAAAGGTATAAATAAAGGCCCCAGGAATGAAGGGCCAGTACCTTTCCTCCCATCAGGAGGATAAGGGCTCCACCTGACCCATGCTTCATCTCCTTTTTCTCATCCTCTTGAGGTCCTTAACCCCAAGAACCTCAGAAGCCACATGGATCGCAGCACATTACAATATCTTTTCCTGTATGAGTTAATTGAGAAATCCTGGACCAAAGTCTCTTAAGACACTGAGATCTGCTTGTGTACAGGAGAGAGACTTTTGAAGGCTGTGTAGAGGAGCCTGCACCCTCAACTGACAGCCTGAGTTACCACCAGCCCTCGGGGACAAACTGAGTTCACAAGTCAAGGGTCCTCTGTAATAGTCTACCTTCCAAAAGGTTTATTAATGAGATTATCCAACATGAAAGGCTTGTTTTGTTAAAGAGTTCCTCGTCACAGTCCCCTAAACAACTCAAGTTCCTCTGCTGGGCCATTCCTTGCTATTATGCTCATATTCCTCTTTGCTTACCTAAAAATTATCCATATATCCAATATTTCTATGTAGTTTTCTCTAATCCCCTGTTGGGCGCAGGCGCTCAACATACCATACCCCAGCCGGGACTAAGGACCACGCCAGCTTCCGCAATGCATTACGTTCCTCTTTAAATTAGCCAACCCGTGCGCACCCCGCACTCTACTCCGTACTCTGTGGCAACTCCTGATTGGCCACAGCTGGATATAGTAGCCAGAGCCTGCATCCCATTCCCGCCCTGCTTCCTTGTGGCAGCCTGTGATTGGTCACGGCCAAATATATAAACCAGAGCCCGCGTAAATAAACTAGCAGTTAACTGTCGTCTACAAGAGCATCTCCTGTCTCCTGTTTCATTGGGGCTGTGCCGGTCAATCCCCCTGCTTTTAAACTCTCAGATCATTACCTTTACTACTCAGCAATGTGAAACTTAATTTTGTATTTTTTATAGTCTTTAACAATACACATGAACATCTGACTTCTTTAATAAAACTGTAAGCAACTTGAGATCCAGAAACATGTCTTCATTCAACAGTTATTTACTGCTTATCTATTGCATGCTGGACAGTGTAATAAGCACTGAGTATTCAATGCTGACCAAAAGTGACTCTTTGCATTCCTAGAGTGTACAAACGTATTTTAGTGTCCTAAAATAAGTACATACATAAATATTTTATTACATTTTTTGACGAGTATCGTTTTCTGAAATGAGGCTCACAAAAAGAAAATTAAATTTGAGCCTGGAGGAAAACTGAACTCTGTTGAGCATGATCAGTTTGGCATGCTGCTGCTCATCTAGGTAAAGACACTAAAGAGGCAAGTGACTGCCTCAGAGTTCAGGGAAGTGACACAAGAGTTGGGAGCTGGCATTGTTTAATGTGTCCCCTTCAAACTTCACACAAATGTAATCCCTAGTGTAACAGTAGTAAGAGGTATTGCCTTTGAGAGAGGAAATGTTATAAAGGCTTTGCACTCATTAATGGGCTCTTACAAAAGGGCTAAAGGGAACCAGCTATGTCCCTTTTATGCTCTTTGGTCCTTTCTGCCCTGTAAGAACACCTAGATGGCACCATTTGTTAGGAATGGGCTCTGAATCTGCCAGTGGCTTGATCTTGGATGGCCCAGCATCTAGAACCGGAAAATATATGTTTATAAATGATCAGTTTCAGGGCTTTTGTTATAGTAGCACAAATGGACTAAGACAACAATCATAAGTAGATCTAGGGTGATTATTTAAACTTGGGGAAGTGGTGAGGTAACCCAAAGGGAAAGCAATAGAGGAGAAAAGAGAATCTTAAGAGATTCCTAGAGCATTTGGACCAGGAAGAAATCAAGTAAAGGAGACAATCTTAACCAGCAAAACGTTTTACATCATTCTAAATGAAAAAAGCCAGTCATAAAACGCCACATATTCTGTGAGCTACTTACTTGAAATGACTTAGATAGGCAAATGTGTCCTAATGGAAAGTAGGTTGGTGGGTGCCTGGGTGGAGGGAGCAATTGCTAATGGCTACAGGGTTTCTTTTGGACTTATACAAATACTCAGGAAACAGTGGTGATGGGTGCACAACTTTGTGAACATTAAAAGTTCTTTAAAAAAGTGAAATTATGTGAAATACATCACAATAAAGCTGAGTTTTTAAAAAGACTGTTAAGGAAAAATTACATACATTTAAAGAAAGGAGTCGGCTCTGTCAAATGCTAACACTATAAGATGAATACTACTAAAGGGATATTATTTTTACACACCAGAGACTCTTCTTCACTTTTTTTTTTTTAAATCAGTACCGGGGATCGAACTCACGACCACCTGCTTGCAAGGCAGGTGCTTATGCCACTGAGCTAAATCCCAGCCCCCACACCACAGATTCTTGCATCAATATTAATGAAGGAGATTATGGGAGAAGAAAATCAAGCGTAAGTGAGCTGAAGAATAAAGTCCCAGAGCTCCAGTTGCACAATCGGTTAGCGCACGGTACTTATATATAAGAATGAAGTCCCTAAAAGCATAAATTTTTAAAGGCATAAATCCACAAAGCAGAAAGAAGAGTAAAGGGAAAAACAGCAACACAACCTTGGAAACTAGAAATCACATGGATAACTTAACTGCTTAAGGAAAAAAGTCCTAAACTAACAACAGTAGGGAATGCAGAACACAAAAGCAAGCTGGAAGACTTCATCAGGTGTTGGTGGGCAAGAAAACGGGGGCCAAAATAAGAATGATTTGTAAAACTTTGGGCATATGATAACTCCTACTATGTAGGCAGAAGTCTAGAATTTTATTTTCTGGACAAGATAAAACAAATGTCTCTAGCTGTCTGGCCTGCACTGGTAAGACAGTGATACCATAACAAAAATGGTGAAAAATTGTGAACTTAACTATCCTATCCTATCCCTTCTGCCCATCCTCTCCATCTGTTCCACTCAACTCCTAAAAACACCAGTGGCTAGTCTTAATCCTTCAGGAGAATGAGCATCTTTTCTGTGGGACTGACCACCCTCTGACAAACTGACCTGAAGGTGATGATACCAGGATTTCTCAACCATCCATTGCAGCCAGATCTATAACGGAGCTCATGATCTCCAGCCCAATTCATCTGTTAAGAATCTTACATGCTCTTAACAAATGATCCACATATGCAGACAACTGCCAGATATCTAGAGATCCTCTCAAGACAAAAACTAAGGAGGAAAAGAATTGTGATGCAAAATGAGTATGAAAGAAGAAAAAAATTGTCAGTAATATCCTCAGAGAGCTAAAGGTATTATAGTTTTTAAAATTACCGCGCTACAAAAAAGAAACAACTCAGAAAAATAATAGCTTTTGAAATTAAAAATGTTAATAATTGAAAAACTTAGAAGAATTTGATGATAAAGCTGGGGATATCTTTCAAGAAGTAGGACAAAAATGCAAAATGATGGAAGCTAGGAAAAAAAGATTATACAACCCACCAGAAGGCTGACATCCAAATACAGGAATTGTAGAAAGTCAGGGCAGAGGAAATAGAGGGAAGACAATCATCAACCATATAACTTAAGAAAATTTCCAAAACCATACAACGTGAATTTCCAAATTAAAGGATCAAGGCTTTGACTTTGAATTCTCAATAGTAACACTGGAAGGCAAAAGACCATGAAGAAATGCCTTCTAAATTCTGAAGGAATATTATTTCCAATCTACAAGTCTATTTCCAACCAAACCATTCATCAAGAGAAACAAGAACATAAATTCTTTGTCAGATAAAAGTATTTATCTCACACTCTTGGGAAGCTCCTCAAGAATGTGCTCCATTAAAGCGATCGTGTATCTCAGTGGCAGCATGCTTGCCTAATAACGCATGACACCCCAGCATTGGCAAAAATAAAAAAGAAAGGAAAACATGGGACACAGGAAGCAGAAGAGACAGGTAACAGGAATCTCCAAATGACTCCATTGAGAAGATCGTAGGAATCTGAAGTGTTTGGAGGTATGGGGGTGGTGAGAAGAAAGAAAGAAAATCAAATCCTTGTTTTCTATAATAGTCAAAAGATAATGTCTAAAGCTGAAAAGCTCAAGAAATGGAGAAAAGGGTCCTGAGACGGCCATTTTTGTGAACAAACACTTTATGCAAACTACTGATTCCGATGAAGAGAAAGTGGATGGGCTATGAAGAGCCAACTAGTGAGAGCCAGAGTTAGGCAACTCTGAAAAAACCTATGAAAGGAAGTGGACAGAAATAAGTGAAAGGGAAGGATGTGTGTTTGTTAGTACAGGAGTCAGGGAGCAGGGCACGTGCTGATGGGAGACAAGGAATGGAAAAGTAGAGAAGTGAGGGGTACAGCTCACACATGCTGGGACTTGCTTCCTACAGGCAGAGGACTGCTTGATAAGAGGATTACAGGTATGTTATAGAAGAAGGAAGTTTCTCTTTTCTCCATAAATCATGGTTATTAGTTGGGAATGGGGAGAAAATGGAGGAGATGATGAAAAGTGAGAATATGACACACTCTTTGCTTAGGGCGAGAAGAAAAAGCTATAAGGAACTGCAGATGTGCACACCTGAAGAGCGCCTAGCTGAACTCAGCGGTTCCCTGCAGTGCCCATGTTATCCTAAAACATGCTCGGTAATTGAATCTCTTTTAAAAACAAGTATATACATAGAAGAAAACATGGAAGGAAATAAAATATTAACAGTCACTGGATCGGAATGTAGAACTATGTTCTCTTCTACTAGTCTCAGTTTTTCTATGATGAAAGCAAGCATGTTAAGCACGGTGGTGCACACCTATAGTCCTAGCAGTTGGGAGACTGAACTAGGAGGATCTCTCTGAGTCCAAGGTCAGCCTGGGCTACACAGAGAGTTTGAGGTCATCCTACATAGCAAGACACTGTGTCAAAAAAAAAGATGGATGTGTGTGCACACCTGTAATTCCAGCACTCTGGAGACTGAGGCTGGAGGATTATTGCAAATTCGACACCATCCTGGACTACAAAGTGAACTCAGGGCCAGCCTGAACTGCAAAGCAAGACCCTATTTCAAAAAGACAAAAAAACAAGCTGGGCATGGTGGCTGACACCTGTTATCCCAGCACTCAGGGGGTTGAGACAGGAGGATCGTTGTGGGTTCGAGACCAGCCTAGGCTACAAAGTGAGCTCAAGGCCAGCCCAAAGTGAGACCCTGCCTCAAAAGGACAAAAAAAAAAAAGACCAAAAAAAAGTAAAAACACAAGCAAGCATGTATTGCATTCATAACGGAAATATTAATCTTTATTTTTCATGGGGAATCTTAAATTTTGGTTCATGAACTAAGCAACATATATTGCTGATACTATGGTCAAGATCATAGCAAAACACTGAAATAATCTGTGTTAATTTCAACAAAGAACTGATAAAATATACACAGTTACACAATTCAGCCCTATGCAGTTATTAAGAGAGGAAGTTCTTTATATACTAATATAGAAGTATTCCTATATATATGGTTAAAAAATTAAATCCAAATAATTAAAAGTATATACAGTAGCTATACCATTTTGGAGGAAGTTCATTTTAAGCATATAATTGAATCTAGGAAGGTCAATGAAAGAATGAAATAGGTGATATAGAAACACCTTCAAAATCTATTATTAACTTAAAATCGAAGGTATTCAACACTTTTATAGAAAACAAAACCCACAAGTGCATATCTATATAATATGTATAATGCAGAAACTTTCTTCAAATACTGGTAAGTATTCTCATAACCAGAGTAATTGATCACACCAGTACAAAGGTACTAAATACTGGAGTACCGTGATGTGCCTACCTGTTCCAGCATCACTATGGAATCTCGGAGCACTCCTTTTAAACGATAGGCCTGATCTTTGTCCTTTTGACCAGTTTCTGCTCTTGAGAGTGTATCAGAAGCGAAACTGAAAGAGAAATAATATTTTCAAAATAAAAAAGATCAGCTCATAATCCTTCAGTTGAAAACTTTCAGTGCCCCCATAAACTGTAAACAAAACACAAAATTAAACAACAAAGAATCTATTTATGACTATAGGACAGCAGCAGAGCAGAATTTTTGGAACTGAAATTAGATCACATATAACTAAGGAATTACTGAAATAATACGATGAAAGTATGTGGGGATGGGAGACTTACTTTAACGATTTCTCTTCTTGGAGGTAGATACGGTAAAAGGACTGAGCAGCATATTCGATATTTGAGAGCTTCAGAAACAGTGTCACGTTCAACAGAACTAGCAGCGTCAAACTAGGCAGAGCAAATTTTACATGGTTAATCCACATTTATCCAGGCCTCATGCACTGCTAATGCAGAATATACATACAAAAACTTCAAAATTGTATATGATCCAGACTATTTTCCCATTATTTAAATAAATTATTCCTATTTTATTGAATAAAATAACTAAGGCATTAAGTGGATTCTAAAGAAAAAGAAAGCAACTAGTAACAAGTAACAATAAAAATCTTTCAATATCCCCCAACTCGCAGGTTGGGGCTGTCTCTGACATTTCTCCTCTCGCTGGCAGTTCCAGCAGCGTTGATGTGGACCAACAGCTCGGTAAGCTTTCAGGATATTTTTGGGTACTTTGGCTTAGCAATTACATGCTCATAATGCTGCATTTCGAAAGGAAATGAAGATCAATATAAAGCTGATGCATCTTATTTTTAGTAGAAGTAAAAAAAAAAGATATGGTATATATATATATATATATATATATATATATATATATATATATGTTCTCATTTATAATAGGCAAATATAATAGGCAAAAATGATATCAAATATAAAATGGTACATGTTAAGTGAACTTAATGTATTGGTTTTCACAGCAAACTTGTGAATGGATTCATACATTACTGCACATATACATAAATACAGAGGGATGATGGTGTAGCTAAGTGGTAGAGCTCTTGCTTAACATGCACAAGGCCCTTGGTTCAATCCCCAATACAGCAAAAAGAAAAACAACAATAAAATATTACATGCTAAATGAATTTAGTATATTGGTTCAGAGCAGACGTTCAAGTGAATGGATCCACAACTTGACACACATATATGCAAATATATAGGCAGCATCATTATCTCTCATCTTTCTCTGTTAAAATATTAATTTACCTTAAAAAACATATAATGGGGCTGTGGATATAGCTCGGTGGTTGACTACTTGCCTAGAATGTCAAGGGACCTGGGCTTGAACCCCAAAACTATAAAAAAAGTTGTATGTGTATAGTATGCGTGCATGTATATGTTACTTCAAGGTCAATATTAGGGATTTTGGGGTTTTTTTTTTTTTTTGGTACCAGGAATCAAACTCACGACCCCCACTTACTTGCCAGGCAGGCACTTATGCAGCTGAGCTAAAGCCCCAGTGTTAGGTTTTTATATAACTATTTAGTGAAAAGAGGATTTAAGAAAAAAGCTTAAAACTATCAAAAAAAGTATCTATGAAATTACTCTGGCATTGAAATAGTATGTAAATCAGTATATTTGAGCACAAATTTTCTGTGAAGGAATGCATTGCTATGTTACAAAATTGTTAAATAATGACATTGCTAATGTTACAAAATTGCGGTAACAAAACAGAAATTTCTATAAAACTCAAAGACATAACAAATATTTTCTGTCTAAAATCTATAATGAGAAAAACTGAGATAACAGTTTCACTCCAGGTCGGGCATGGTGGCACACACCTGTAATGCCAGCAGTCAGGAGGCTGAGTCGTGAGTTTGAGGCCAGCCTGAAGGCAAAGCGAGACCTTGTCTCAAAAAAGAAAAAAAAGAATTCCATTCCAAAATGCTATTACCCACAATGTATCACTGTGTCAACAAATTCAATTGATCTAAGAGGTCAACTTACTTAATTTTTTTTTTTTTTTGTCTTTTTCATTTTCATCAGTATCTGGGATCGAACTCACGACTGCCTGCTTGCAAGGCAGGTGTTTATGCCGCTGAGCTAAATCCCCAGCCCAACTTATTTAAAATTAATGCAGAACCGTAAGAATATTAGCACTCTAAATATGATTGGCTTAGGAGATTCCTACAGGGTGCCCTAAGATTCAGATTAATTGCCCCATTATTTTTCACCATGTGATAGTGTTTACATCAGAATAACCTGGATTATGTGCTTTAAAGTACTGATTCCTGATCCCTAGAGTTAAAGTCTATTGATTCAAAGCCTTTTTCTCAGTCTCTGGGATTTAGGGTCAAGAAATCTGAATTTTAGCAAATGCCCCAAGGGACTGTTATGTACAATAAAAAATAAGAATCACTGAGGATAAAATAGAACTTGGGGGGACTTTACCAGCACGTGTATATAAATATTTGCTTTAAATTTATAGAACTTACTACTAAACTACGATAGTAGATAAGCCAGATTGGTTACGAAATAAAGACATTTGTTGAATACGTACTTTGCATTCCTTCAAATTTAACAATTCTGAAAATCGTACATCAAAAACTATTCTAGGCCAACACTGATCAAATAGTGGTAATTTCTACCCAATAATATTCATTTGAGAACCAGATAAAAGTAAATTAAGACAAAGTAAAATAGTCACAATAAATACTTACAAAATACTCAACATCACAATAAGAACAATGTTAAACATTTCCATTCCCTTTTTCTTTCCTGCAGATCATAAAAAAAGGCTGTATTAGAGTAAGGATCAGAATTTAAATCTCACTTGAAAAGGACTGAAAAAGAGATTTTTAAAATTATTTGCAAAGACAAAGTAGTTTAGGGAAAATTCCCCACACCTCATTTTTGATTTCTGGTATCCTGAATAACGTGAAACAATTCCACAGTAAGAAAAGCTACAGAAGTCACGTTTTGACTATAACTTACCCTAAAACTAACTAAGCAATTCATACAGCATGCATGGCATACAGCTAAATACTATCTCTTCAAATAATAACTGAGTTCTGTTTATGTATAGTGTTTCACTCCTTACAAAAAAATCCTTATCTATTCACTGTTGTCTACACTTCAGTAGTGAATAAATATATTCATACACAGATATAAACCTAAAGAGGATTGATAATGTAGGAGGATGAGAAGGTGTGACAGCTTTGTATCTCTGAAAGGAGACAGTAACAGCAAAGGCAAATCATCTTCAGAATTCAGGGAGTAGGGATAATCAAAGTCAAATTCCATCTTTATAGTTTTCAGGCTGGATCTGAACGTGCCCAGGAGCAGTACACTCAAAGGTAGGAATCAAATGGCCATGGGTGCTAGGTAGAAATAATGAGAGAAGCAGTCCAGAAGGACGAGCCTGGCATTTGTGGTGGGCTCTGTGGCCAGCTAAGCAGCTCACACAGTCTGAAGGTGCCATGCAGGGATTTGGCTAGTGGGCTGTCAGGTCAGAGTTTTTATATAAAAATCTCCAATTTTAAAATGCTGAGTGGATCAAATAAGTTACTACTATCGGCATATGCTTACCATTTCGTAACTGTTGCTTTACACTTATATATTAATTTTCAATAACTGAATATGATGAAGATTATCAAAAAGAAGGGGAGAAATTCAGACCTCCTGACTTATAAATAAGCTAAGCTATATCATCTGTTTACAAGTGACAGCTACCTGGAGTATCGCCTTTGATCTCTAAGTTCATTTCTTCAGAAGAACGCTGGGAAGGAAGCTTTGGAACTGTCTCCACTACCCGGTTGAATGTTCGCCTTCTCCTTCGTAGGCCACTGAGTTTTCCAGCATCTTCAATGGACTGGTTTAACATAGATTCTTCCACTGACAACTGTGATTCTAAGAAACGGTTTTTTAAAAATAGAATTTTTAGATATAAGGAAACTTCCAATTATAGGTTAGAAAGGTGATTTTTAAAGCCTTGATAACTTTCTTTATTTCTAAACTTTTTATGGCCTAGATTCAAACTTTATTTCTAATAAAAAGCTTTACTGGTACGATGACCCCATAATGAGATTTCACCGTTCTAGGAAGACTGTATGTTAAACAGTATTGGGGTCATCAACACAAATATGCCACATGCAGTTAAATATTAATGTTATGGTTGCAGTTATGGAAAGAATAGGCCACTCACACTGGATTATTAGATTTTCAAGACTGGTTATGGTACTTATAAACCTCAAAGGACAGAGAAGCATACATATCAGAGTTATACTTTTCAATGACAGTGTACAAGAAAGAAAGCACCTCAAAATACCATTTTTTGTCATATACTTCATCTTTTTCCCTGATCTGAGTTTTTGTTAGAAACTCATTATTCAGTAGCCAAACTAATTTTTAAGTTTCGTTTTCTGTTTTTAATGTTTTTAACAATGAAACAGCCATAGAGAAAAAGACTAGGAAAATAATAAACTAAACAATTTTTTTAAAAAACAGTGTCTCACTCTCTATTTCAGGCTGGTTTTGAACTTGTGGTGATCCTTCTGCCTCAGCCTCCCAACTGGGATTACAAGCATGTATCACCACACCTGCTTTAAACAATAAAATCTTAAGATACTCCGAGCGGATCTCCAGCTTTTTTTCAACTAAAATTATGGTCAAGTATTTATATATTTCTTTATGTATATACAAAGAAGATTCTAAACATTAGAACAGCTATATCGCTTCCTCAGCCAACTGCCAGTACCTACCTCCACCAAATCCACACATATATATAATACCACTTCTAAGGGGGCCTGCAATCCAGAAAAGCTGCACCCTAAAGGGAGGCTTGTGCCCAAGGACTCTTGAATCCTAGAGAGCACAGTGTCTATGAGCTGGTTCTGTAACCCCTCACTGCTGCCTGCTTTCTTGGCTCCTTCCAAAGGCAGAGACTATAACAACAGCTCTTAAGCATGTAGTCACTGACAAGTCACTTAACCATGTTTTTTAAAATTTCTTTAGTGAAATAGAAAAAAAGAATTATACCTACTTAACAGGGTTGTCATGAGTGCAAAATGAGTTAATATTTATGAAGCACATAAAATCTTATATGCCTGGCATATATAATAAGCACCATGTAAGGGTTTCTTAGACCATAAAAAATTGAACATTTTGAAATCCCACTGATTACTACCTGTGGGAGAACAGGTTGGAGAGTCAAAAACAACTGTTTCAGTGACAGTCATCCCAACATCACCTGCCAGCTCCTACTATAAATCCACATGAAGAATCCATCTATTTCATCAATAAGCACTACCTTCACTAAAACAGATTCATCAAAAACTGTACACACCAAGCTGTCTGAAATAGTGCTCCAGTGAACTCCAAGAATTCTTCTCAATTAAAGATCTGATCAGGCCCCACGGCTGTTTTTTGTATTTCACATCTGTGGAAACTCTAGTAGGATAAGAATAAAAGAAGATGATATATTTAAGAACAGACCTTAGTTATATTAATATTGTAATTAAATGTAAGATTACAGTACATGGAAAGTTAAAAGGATGCAAAATCATTAAACTACAAAAGAAAATTGGTCCACTGATGATGATTTCTTTAAAAACCACTGTGAGCTGCTAATAACTTCATCAAATTGTCCTTCTATGCCACTTTGTTATTTTACTTTCTGTAGCCCTGAATTTGCTTTAGCAAGCAAGGCTCCAAACACATGCTAAATTTTCTAAATGCCTTATGTAAAAAATCGCTAGCGGTCACAAACTAGCTGGACCTGGCATTAACTAGGCGCCCCAAGCTTCTTTCCCACTGCAGCAGTTACAGTTACCATGTGCTCCCCCAGAACTCCTGGCCCCCTTGCCAGTAGACAGCCCCTCCAACAAACCACGAGCACATCTCTACAGCTTCCTATTAGCAACTGAAATGCCCTCGTTTTGATTGTGTAGCACAGGATGAGAAGGTCTTCAACTGGAGTCCTGGACATGTAATTTTAACAAAGATAAATCTCTGTTGTATAAAGCTAAGAACTCAGAATTTTTGTTACCAAAGCATACCTAGTCTCCTCTAACACATTCAATTGCAATATCTCACCTTAGCCTGCATTTCTGTTTTGAAGATCGAATGATACAGTATCGGTTCAGGGTATAGAAGTAATCATGGTAGGGGACATCATGGGTCAATACTTCTGAATCTACTAAATAAAATTGTGCTTCCCGACTTTCTTTATAGAGTGTCTGCCAAAATAAGATTTTAAACAATTTTCATGCACATTTTTAACATTTTATATGTTTTTTGGCAATTTGGCACATACTAGAATTCCTTCTCAGAAATTACAAGACACCAGAAGTCTACATACAAGCTGTAAGAGCCTCCGTATTGGCTACACTGCTGTGAACTGAGACCTGCAGAAACAAGTCTTTCGCCACTCTGTCCTTTCACTGACAACTGATACTTCCTATTGGACTGAAGGAAAAGAAAAGAACCAAATAATCTCTTATAAGAGTTTTGTAACTTCCTGTTAGGGTGATAATTCAAAAATCAACTGAATTATAACAACAAATATAATCAACAAGTTATAACATTTGCCTTCCCCCAAATTTATAAAAGCTTAACAGAACCACCCTGTCCCCATAAAACACACACACACACAAACACACACACACAAACACACGCACGTAAACACACGCATAAACAAACACACGCATAAAAGGAATATGGGGTAAATAAGTAAAATGTCACTTTTCCTAAACAGGGCCTAAGGTGGCTGTCAGATGAACAAACTTCTCTAATTTTAACCACACTTTTTCTATCTATCTTCTAAGGGAGGAAGGAGATTCAGTAGAGATCAAAAATTCCAGTCAAAACACCAAAATTTTCTTGTATTTTTGACAATCTTTATACATTTTTTTTTTTGTCTTTTTCATTTTTATCGGTACCGGGGATCGAACTCACGACTGCCTGCTTGCAAGGCAGGCGCTTATGCTGCTGAGCTAAATCCCCAGGCCCCTTTATACATTTTTAAAAGGTAAAAAAGTCACATTTTAAACACTGATGCACAAAACTGCAAGAGCAGCATTCAGATGTTAATAGTAGCTGCAAAACATACCCTGTACTTCAGCACAAATTGGTCAAACACAAGACTCCACTCCAAGTGAGCACACAGGGTTCTTAAAGAAGAGCATTCAATAGCTAATGTTTAATTTTATGAATTCAATTTCTTCCCATAGCAACCATCTAGCTATTTAGCCCTAACCATTTACATGATGCTGTAATAAATCAGGTTTTAGAAATATAGTTTAGGTCAGGCATAGTGGTGCATGCCAATACTCCTATCACCCAGGAGGCTGAGGCAGGAGGATCACTCAAATTCGAGACCAGCTGGGGCTACAAAGTGAGCTCAAGGCCAGCTGAGCAAACAAAATCCTGTCTCAAAAGACAAAAGAAAAAAAAAAATATATATATACACACACATACACATACATATATATATACACACACATATATATTATGAAAAATCTTCTATTATGAAAAGCTATGAACGTGCACAAGAGCAGAAATGAAGTATAATGAACCCTTGTGAGCTCATTAACACCAGCTTCAACACTAACTACTGCCTGGTCCCGTGTCATCTGTTGCCCTTCCGCATATTCCTTCCCTCCACCACCATCCTCTGCCTGGCTAGATTCCAGGCATCAGTATAATTTCACCACAAACACTTTGGCACATTTCTTTTTGAAGTCTTTAGTATATCACTTTAAAAAGTACTGTTTGTTAAAACAAAAAATACCACATTACACATAAGAAAGTAACAAGTCCTCAAATCTCATAAATACCTTTATTGGATTAGGGTTGGGGTCATAATGGCTTTCTATATTCCTATCAACCTGTAACAGTTTCTCCTCCTCCTTCTTTCCCTTGAGATTTTTTTTGTTAAAATTATCTTGTAAACTGGTGACTCTGACAAGCATGCTCTCTCTTGACATATGATTGATTCCTTTTAATACTATCAGATTAGACTTACCTGCTTTTCAGTAGCCGCAGTGCATTTTCCAGTAAGGGGGTTATTAAGCACTACAGTATAGGTCATGGTTCTCAGTTGATCACCTCCAGATTCTACAGTCCAAGGAGTAGATACTACATCTAATAAAAGCAAACATAAGTTAGTTCTAGAAATCTAGAACTGAAGGGGTGACTTAAAATGAAATCAAAAGGGCAGATTTAGAATTAAATTTTTATTTTTGCCTACTCCTAACCCCTCAAAACTATATGCTTAACATTAAAGAGAGATTAAATGTGAGACATTCTTCCTAGATATAACATGTACACTTCTCTGAAGCATTTATTTGTAAATTTTTTCTGTAAATCAACTTTTTCTTTTGTAGAAAGTAAAAATTACTTCATGTGTAGGTTTCCTTTTAAAGTTCCTAGGACCTATGGAGAGAGACAAAACAACACTTCAGTATACCACCCTTCAGTTTGAAACTGTCAAAGTCATTTGTTACTGTGCAACACTGACATCAGTGTCCGCCTGTGGAGAAATCACATCAGTGTTACAAGAAATCACGGCTGTGAGTGGCTTCTCTGCAAAATCTTTCATCAAGACAAGATGAAGACATATAAATGCTTATATTTCATATAATTTTTTCTGCATTAAAGCTTTAGGATCATCTCCCTGTGTTTTTGGTGGGTTCTTGGCCAAATTCTTTTATTTACTTAGAAACAACACTGTGTACAAACACTTTGAATAGAAACATAGCTTTAGAATAGCACCATACAGTGAAGATCATTTCATGCAAACCAAAAATTAGTTAAGTACAGATAAAAGCAGTATGAACTCCATTCAAAGACCTGAACAGGTTATCTAATGCTGTTACACAAATGGATGTAGGCAGCCACTCAGCATATTTGGAGGCTATTCACCAAATTCTAAAATATAGGAGCCTTTATCTCATCAATTACCCACAAGCAAAAGAATCAAGCAAGGCCAGCTTCATTCAACTTCTCTTATACAGTTAGGCCTAGGGACTTAATGAGGGATCTTGAAACTGCCTTTGAGTATCTGGAAGGATCTTACAACTAAATTAAAAAGAAAACATTAGAAACCATGGACTTCATCATCCATCATTCCTTGTACAATGATTCATTTAGGTGTACATGAAATAACATACAATTAATTCTAAAATGTTTTTGTTATTATTTTGAGACAAGGACTAGTTATGTAGTTCAGGCTGGCATTTTTAAGTCACTATGTGGCCTAGGCTGGCCTCAAATTTACAGCAATCCTCCTGCCTTAGCCTCCTAAACACTAGGGCTACAGGTATGCATCACCACACCTGGCTATCTGAAATACTTCTCCAGAAGATTACCAGGTCATATGTCAGCCTATTTCATGGGAATGATACAAATAAAGACATTTTTCAATAGAAACACAGCTGAAAGCTATCACTAAATTCTGTTGTTAGAACTTTATGCTATTCAGTAAAGTAACTATCAACAAGGATCAAACAAAAATATCTATTTTGCCATGTTTATTACACTTGCATTTTTACCAATTACCAGCAAGGCCAAATGAGTATTATTAGTCACAACGTTACCAAATTAACATCATACTGGAATAGTCAACCCTAAAATATACAGGTGAAATTCATCCTTATATTCAAATCTCAAATAAAACTACATAAAATGGCAATAGTAAAGGACAAATGTGCCATTAGGATACACTGAAGTAAAGTAATTACAAAGCAGAAGGTACAGAACAATTACTTTAAGAAAGCTCTAAAATACAAAATTTTTAAATTTGTGAATCTTTATACCCATTAGGATGGCTGTTATGAAAAAAAAAAAATAGAAAACAACAAGAGTTCACAAAGACGTGGAGAAGCCAGAGCCTCTGTACACTGCAGGTGAGAATGTAAAGTGGAAAACAGTACAACTTCCTCAAAAACTTAGTTATCTTATGATGCAGCAATTATACTTCTCAGTAAACAGGCAAAAAAGGTGTACAGAAAGCAGAGGATTTGAACAGACACTCATACATCAATACAGCAGCATTAGATAGTTATATAGATATAGATATAGATATAGATATAGATATAGATATAGATATAGATATAGATATAGATAGCTGAGAATTTATACAGATATTTATGCATCAATACTCATAGCAGAATTATTCACAGTAACTAAACGATACAAATGATCCAAATGTCATTAATGGATGAATGAAAAACAGAAGATACTTTTCCATATACACAATTGAAAATTCTGCCTTAAAAAGGAGTAAAATTTTGTCACATGCTGCAATATGGATGGGTGAATCGTTATACTAATTGTAATGAACCCATCATTAAAAGTCAAATATTATATGATTTGACTTATTTGAGGTACCTGGAATAATTAAATTCACAGACAGAAAACAGAATGGTGGTCTTTAGATGCTGGAGAGGAAGAAGTGGAACTATTGTTTAATAGGGTCAGAATTGGGGCTGGAGATTTAGCTCAGTGGCATAAGTTCCTGTCTTGCAAGTGTGTGGTCATGAGTTTGATCCCCGGTACGGATAAAAAAAGTAATAGGGTTAGAATTTCATTTTGGGATGATGGAAGCATTCTGGAGATGGATGATGGTTGTAGTTAATTGACAATGTGGATGCACTTAACACTTTTTTGAACTGTACATTTTTTTTTGTACCAGGAATGGAACTCTTCACCTCGCACTTGCCAAGGAGGTGTTTGTGGTGCTGAGCTAAACCTCCAGCCCAAGAACTGTACACTTTTAATGCCTGTAATCCCAGCACTCAGAAGGCTAAGGCAGAAGGGTTGCCAAGAGTTCTAGGCCAGCCTGGGCTACATAAGTGAGTTCAAGGACAGGCTGAACTAGACAGAGACACCCTGTCCCAAAACCAACAACTTCGATTAACAGTAACAGGTCCAAGGACAGCAGTATGGTTGCAGTCATCAGCAAACTCTCTTTTGAGGAAAAGCTTTTGACGAATTTTACATCTAGCTTGCAACATGCCTATAGCTGCTCAGATTTGAAATTAGCCCTACATTTTTGCTTTCCAGCACCATTTACAATTATCAGTCACCCATATGGAAGCCAGATGTAGTAGACAACAAATGCAGTTGTGTTCAAAGAACAGTATCAGCATGGAATAACATGCTACTACCTCATGGGCCCTTTCACACACGAAATGCCAGACCACCAACTTAGAAAATTAAGGGAAATAATATATCTAACTCATCTAAAATACCACCTTCTCCAAGGAGAAATGAATAAAAACAAAATATAAAATACATTCAGAAGAGATAAATTCAGAAGAGATAATAAAGAGTTAAATATAAACTGTTCAGCAAAGAGAAAGATTTAGATCTCTTTATGTATTTTTTTTATTTCAGGTATTTTGAGACAGCCTTGCTATGTAGTATGGACTGGCTTTCAGTTTGCTACAGAGTCCAAGCTGGGCGTGAACTCCAAATCCTCCTGCCTCAGCCTTCCAAATGTTGAGATTACAGGTATAAACCACCACTCCCGGCTGTTCTTTCAAGTCAGGCACAGTGTATACACCGCAACCCCAACGCTTGAGAGGCTAATGACTGCAAGGCCATCGTGGACTACGGAGCAAGATCCTGTCTCACTCCGCTCCCCGCCTCCCAAAAAAGGAAGAGAAGAAAAACAGTAATTTGAAACCAAGAAACTTGTGTGTCTGTCTGTCTGAGGACTGAATCCATGACCTTTACATTGAGCCATTTTTTACTTTTTGTTTTGAGACAGGGTCTTACTAAGTCACTAAGTTGCCCCCGCTGCAGTTAAACTTGCAGGAATTATAAGTTTAAAACCATGAAACTCTTAGTATACTGTATCTGTCAATTAGAAATCTCTTTGCTATTCTACCATGAATAGTAAAAAAATTGATTTTTGTAGCGACAGTCCATATTAATGACATCACCTCTGAGTATATAATTATGTTAAAGTTACAAAAAAAAGGAGAAACACCTAGTGATTGATAAAATTATACAATTAAATGTGAACTATGGATATAAACCTAGATTAAAGCTATATTTAAGTTGACTATGTCAAGTGGTTTACTTTAAATGAATCTCTGCTGCAGCTATATCCTAATTATATAGCAAGGTAAACCACATACCTCCAAAATTAATAAAGTATCAAGAAACGCTTAGGATATATCCATTTCAAAACTAACTATAAGCTTATTTGAGATACTTACCATAATAGAAATTTTAACACATGATCAATGAAATCCTCCTTATAAGTATTAGCAATTTCCAAAATAAACCTTTAAAGAATTTTTACTAAAGTATACCATAGAACCATAATGTCAAATGTATAGCTCCATGTTAGCAAAAGAAACACACATGTGTATTACACTAAAACTAAGACACAGTACTTTTATCAGCATCTCAAAAGTTCCCTCCCAGTCTTTACTGACTGGATTCTCAACAACTGTAACTGCTCTACTACTGTGCTAAGTGTAAAGACTCTGCTAACTTTACATAAAAAAAATATATGGCATGTACTCTTGTATCTGGATTTTAAAACTTTTTTTTTTGCTCAACATATGTCTATGGAATTTATTCATATTGTTTTAAGTACCAGTGGTTTGTTGTTGGTTTTGTTGGTATATAGCACTCATCTATGGAAACTCATACAGTTTATTTATTCTATTACTGAGGGGTACCTGGAATGTTGTCAGCTTTCAGGCATTATAAAAAATAGCACAGTATACATGTACCTTTTTTTCTTTTGCTTTGGTCAAATAGGGTCTCTTTATATGGGTCAGGCTGGCCTTGAACTCACAGTGTACCCCTAGGCTGTCCTCTAACACAGTATTTCTCTGCCTCAGCCTCCTACACGCTGAGAATATAGACATGCCCAACCACTCCTGGCTATATATACTCACAATCTGATGAGAACACACTAGCAGTAGACCTGCTGGCTCAGATAATGCACACCTGCCATAGGTACAGCCACACATTTGGCAAGGTGGCCATTCCATCCTCCACCAGCATCCAGTTGTCCCACAACAGAACTCTTCTGAATTGGGTTCAACTCAGTGAATACAAACATTAATGATACATGAAGCTTGAGTTTTCAGAGTCTAAACTTCATTATAAATAGCATCTGCTTAATTGAACAATTTTACAGTTCACATGTAAATTCAACCTAACATTTAAATATCAGTTTATATATAACCAAAATAAAATCAAAGCATGTTCCTTTTTATTTTTCTCCTGACAACATAAATCAATTCAGATAGGCCCAATGCTCTCAGGCTAATAACATCTCCTACACTTATGATTAGGTAAGAACCACAAGGACCAACCTATTATATTTCTAGAGCTGGTAAATCTCTGCATAAAGCGTGAATTAGTGAAGAGTAATTCAAACATTTTCTCAGCACTGATATGAAAAACACGGTTGATATAAAGTCTTCCTTGAAGATCCTTTTCAGGGATATTTTCTAAAAAAGAAAAACATCAAAAAAGGAGAAATTAAGGAAAGGTAATTTCAAAGCTGGGGGAGGATGTGTTTTTGTTGTGTTTTAGCACAAAACGGTCTTTAATTAGAATGATCAACACATTTCAAGACCCTCTTAAAACTCCAAATTAGAGTTACATACATATGCACCATACAATTATACACAAGCACACACTGTTATGTGCAGTTACATACATATGATCATTATTTCAATCTTAAAAGTTGTAGAAACATTTTAACTGGAATGATTTCAAATCCTACTAATGTACACTTAAAAGAATATTTCTTAAGTTAATAAAGGCAACATTGCAGCAGACAGGAAGGTATACATCATGGTCATTACTAGCTCTATATCTGAATGCTCATATCTTCAGTAAATGTTAACTCACCCAGGCCTACAGTATCTCCTATATTCACTAAATTGTCAACCTGATTAGTTTTTCAATTTGACATTAACTCCTCCAAAATAAGAATCACTATCTTTACCATTCCAAATAAACACACTTTAAAAGAACAGGAAATAGTGTTGAGAATAGAAATAGTGTTCAAAGCTGCTAATGTCCAGTGGAACACTACATGGTGTTCTGGGAACTTGGTAATCATAATGAAGTTGAAAACTACTGGTGGCAAATGAAGCAGTAGCTGTTCAGTTTCTCTCCTATTCCCTGAAAAAGCCCATAATTATATTGTACTTACTATTTGTCATTGTGCTGAGCACCTTACAATCATTGACTCATCCTCCCCGCAATACTCTGAGAAAAGTGGTATCATCCTCCGCCTTTCCATTTTACAGGTAAGGAGACTGAGGAGCAGAGAGGACTGCCAACCTGCCATAGCTAGTGAGAGATGTGTGCAGATTATGAACCTACTCTACCTCCGGAGGACACAGATTTAACCTTCATTCTACACTGCCAAAAAGAGTTGAAGAAATTTTTTAAAAAGAAAGCTAAGAATAGGAGACAGGCAGGATAAAGGAAACAGTGAAAAGCAATCCAATGTGAAATTTTAATGATTTAAAGACTGGGATTACTATTTCAAGGATCATACCCCATCAATACTGAGTGAAAACTACAACAAAAGCTCTCCATATTTCTGAAATCAGGCTCTACAAATTATCTGTCTAAATCATCTGTCAATATTAATCCACAGGCAACAGCCTGGTTAAGTAAAAGGACAGTCTGATCTATGAATCAGAAAAACTCTGGTTTATGGCTTGACCCTCCTCTATCCCTATTTCTCCCTCATTAAATGATTTGCCTATTTTGTCAGTGGTACAAAGAACTTAGGGATACCAGCTACATACCAATTTACCTTCTCCCTGCAACAATACTTTATGAAGGAATAAACTATTCACTGAAATTTCAAATAATAGCTCCTTTGGTATAGAAATGAATCACTGAAATTAGGCAATTTGCTGAGGTTTTGTGCTACAACTTCCCATTAGGCTTAGGACACAGTTTTTGCTGACATAGAAGTATTACATTCATTATAAAAATAACTCAAATATATCCCTAGAAACAAAAAAACTACAGCTGATTCTATTGATCCTGCTTATTTCTTCAGAGAACTTAGTCTGATTTGTAATTTAATTTTTGATGGCCGATTCATTTGTTTATTATTTCTTTCCTGTACTTCCATGTGAATAAGGAACATGTTGATTTTAAACATCGATGTACATTCAGTACTTGGCACATAAGAAGTATTATATTTTTAATTAATAAATTACTAAAGAAAATGTTAAATATAATCTATCTTTATAGTTCTTTATGCAACCTTTAAAAAAACTTTTTTTATTTTGGAATAATTTGATATTTACAGTTGATTAAATAAGGATTTATTCCTCCTGCCTACCTCCAAGTTATTTTCCTGTTCAAGAATACAGTCCAAGATACAGTACTGTAATGCATTTTCTTATTAGGACTCAGTCTATTCAACTCTTTGACAACTTCTCATTCTTCCTTTGCTTTTTTATGACCTTGACCTTGGTATTTTTTTTAAATGAGTGAAGAAACATTATTTAACCCAGCAGCAGGTTATTATAAAGAATACTATTTGAAATACATCAACTTGAAATGGACAGTGAAAATAGTATAAAGTGAGACTGATAAATACAGGAGAAACACAAAACATATGCTGCCAGTTCTTTGAACGGATGTAAAACTGCACCATTTGTAAGCAGGCAAAAAAGCAGCTGATTAAGGATAGATTGTCTGAACTGGAGGACAGGTTTGCAATGTGGGAGCATGAAAGGAAAAACTTCTTAAAAATAACAAGGAAACAAGCAGTAACAATACAAAAGCTAGAAGATGATAACAGGATCTATAACTTAAAAATTGAAAATGTAAAGGAAGAAGCAGGGATACAAACAAATGAACTGCAAAGGCTATTCACAGAAATAATTAAGGAGAACTTCCCAAATATAGAAAAAGGTAAAGATACTCAGATGTATGAGGCATACAGAACTCCAGCCACCCACAATCCAAACAGAACTACACCCAGGCATATAATAATCAAAATTTCAGAAATCCAATATAAGAACAATATTAAAAGCTGTCAGACACAAGAAACAAATCACTTACAAGGGAACACCCATCAGAATTAGTGCAGACTTCTCGGCACAAACCATCAAATCACGAAGAGTGTGGGGTGAAATAATCCAGGTTTTTGAAAGACAATAACCTCCAGCCAAGATTGATATATCCTGCACAACTGTCCGTAGAAATTAATGGAGAAACAAGGTGCTTCCAGGATAAAAAGGAGCCGGGGGAATTTGCAACCACCAATTCAACTCTACAGAGAATACTGCAGGGCATTCTAAAAGAGAAAAGTACCAGGATCCCAGAAACAGTGGCAGAGAGGCCACAATGAATGGAGCAGAAAGCAAAATGAAGAAGACAAACTGACAACTAATGACAGAAAAAGAACTCAACAGAAATGAGGCAGAGAAGGTTGGATATAATTTCTAATAGAGATGGCCTAGATACACTAACTTAAGGGGAAAAAGAGAGAATTGCAGGCAGAGTGGATCAAGAGATAACAGTCCACCAAGAGGCTCTTTATAGGAAATATAATTAGCCTGAAGAAGGGGCTGGGGATTTAGCTCAGGGGCATAAGTGCCTGCATTGCAAGTGTGCAGTCCTGAGTTTGATCCCTGGTACTGATAAAAACCAAAAAAGACAAAAAAAAAAAAAAATATGACCAAAATCAAACATGAGAAAACGGAACTCGATGTGATAGGGAACCAGAGAGCAATAGGGGTAACTAGACTAGTATTTATGGATAGGTTGAACAAACAAGCTTTAATAAATGAAGAAATATAACTCAAAATCCAGCCCAGGAGTGAGAAAGTTCAAAAACACTTAAGTTAAATAGCGGGTTGCCCCCCAATACAAAACCGTGAGTGTTGGGGAGACTCAAAAATACAAAGTTCATTCTGGGGGAGTAAAAGGGAGGAATAGTCCTTAAAAAAAAAAAAAACAGCAGAAGATATAGCTAATAGTGTATCAGGAATTAAAACCCCTATTACTCGCACCACTCTGCTTGGTTGGAACTTACTCCGTCCTAGTTTGTATACAAGCACTGGATCTGAGGGGCAGAGAGAGCTGTCCATAGCACAGTGGATATCTTTAATTTCCTATTAACTCAATCAGGATCCATGTATGACTTATACTGTTGTATCATGACTGATCTTAGTTAAATATGACTTGTTTGATTGCTGCTTATTATTGACAGATTTTATTCAAAACTGTAAGATTGATGGTATCAAGTTAAGGAGTATAGACAATTATACTGAAAATGACAATGATTCACTACGATATCCATTCTGATTTGATTACTACCTGTTTTTGTAGCTCTGTACTATCTATAAAGTTGTATTTCTGTTAATCCTGTTATGTACTGATATGTTCACTTATACTTTGTCTGATGATATAGATAATTCTGTTGATGATAACAAGAAACAGCTCAGTGACCATGGTACAACTCCTTACATAGCAGATTTATATGTCTTTTTAGTTTTATATGTCTATAGGAAAAAGTTTAGTTGTGTCCTGCTTTGTTCTGTTTCTCCCTCTAATATAGAAAGGACAGAAATACATGTTAAGACTCAAGCTTACATAAAACTTACAAACAGTTTATGAGAACTGATCTGATGACACATGATAAAATGAACAAAAACTTTGAAGGAAAGAAAGTGGCACTGCAGTACACAGTCCTGATTCTGGAGTGTTATGATGTGAAATCCAGCAATATTATTAATCTTTGTTCAGAAGGATTTTAATCTAATAAATTGTGTTAGGTCCCAACATAAATGAAGATATAGATAAATACATACATGTCTAAGTGTGTAGGATTGATAGCCATAATACTTAGTTTTTGTTGGATAGATGAACAGAACTGTTTGCCATCTCCCTGGTTGAATTCCCATTTATATGTTCCACTTGTGTACCTTAAACAACTATTCATAGGGGGACAATAAGCATATATCAGCTAGTGATTTATTACTGTTTATTTCTTTTCTTTGAAAGTATGTACTATTTCTGCTTGTTTTCTATTTTGTTTTGTCTTTCTTTAAATTAAAAAAAGCAGTTGATTTAAGCTTCATTTAGTGACTGAGGACACAAAATCTGTTTTATCTTTCATTTTCTAAAAACTGGTGATCTGAATCTTTTTGACCCAGGATATTGTTTACAACTGAAAAACCAAGTTCAATTGAGCGTGTTGTTCAAAAATCTTATATAATCCTGTTGATTGTATTATTTGGCCCATGCACACTTAATTGTTTCTTTGCCTTTATCTCCTTCCAACTTAAAGCCATATGCCTACCCAAGATGAAAATGCATGGTGACTATTGAAGTTCTTTAGCTAGACCCTTTGTAGAGTATCTCTGACTGCCAATTAACAACTATGAACCCCTTCAGCCTGAAGAAGCCAGATCAGTAATAGTCCATTATTCCCTCACGGAATGTTATAGACAGCTGAGTTAAAATATTATAGGCAGTCAGACAGGGCCAGGCCCTTGAAGAAGCTAGTGCAAAAGACCAAATAGCTTGCAACAATGGAGGAGATAGACACCTCTGTCAGCCAGATCTCAAGATGAAAGATAAAACAAATGCAACCAGATGACAAGGAGAAACATCAGGGATTGGTATTTTAAACAGGTATGAATCACTGTGAAGAAGCCCCTAACTCAATTCCCTTAAGGCCAAGGCCACTTGCTATGTGACTTGCTTCCCTATTGGACAGCAATTTCATCAGTCTTACCTGGGCAGTTACATTGGTGATCTTACTGGCTGACAATAATTCTGTCCCACCCTCATGCCCACCTTGCAAATTCCCATTTTTCCTCGCTGTGGGCCCATCTCACCTCTTGGTTTTGCTCTATAAAAGTCCCTAGAAAAGACAGAATCTTTGGCAACCTTCTAGGGACCACTTCTTACTTGGACAGAAGCTTTCTTGCTCTCAATAAGTATATTATCCTCTTAATAAAAGAAAAGAAGGAAGGAAGGAAGGAAGCTAGCTAGCTTGCTCGCTTACTCTCACCTTTATTAATTAGTAAGTAGCAAGAATTCTCTAATGTTCTCATTCCTGTTACTCTTTGCTGGCTTTGCCTCTAATGCATTAACTTCTGTCAGCTTTAGCTCCTAGATTCTCATGTCGTTATTCTTGTGTGTCCTTCCCATAGCCTAATGTTTTCTTTAGACTTAGGTAAATTTCTGGCATAAGGGACTTTGCTTAGCAAACTCTGTCACCATATATTCCCAGAAGTCTCATGCTCTCAGCCAACTTGTCTATTTCCACTCATGGCTCTAACTCTTATCCCCAAATGTTTCACAATAATACACTCCTCGGTCTTTGTGGGTTCTAAACTGTGTAGTATGTGGTAAGATCTTTTTAAAAAGATGCCAGTCCACACAATTCTTGTCTAACTTTTCCGATCTGGGCTTCACTGAGGCTCCACATCAATGAGATTGGCCACATCAAAAGAGTCTGAGGCTCCCTCCACAAACTATAGCATATGAGGGCTAGAAGGGAAAAAGAGAGATCCTAAAATTTTCTCATCAGTCTGCTCAAAAAGTAGATCAAAATACTCTCATTTTAACACAGATGTTTGGTTTAAAATGATCTACCACCATCAGCTCCCTCTAAATACTCTCCATCCTTTTCCAAATTTCCTGAGATGGTTCTCATTTTTCCCTAGTTTGTTAACTTATGAAATGTCTTCATAATAATAACTATAATAAAAATATTCACGATTATGCCTATTTGACATATCTAACAAGCCTGAGATCTTGCAACTAACTTAGAGAAAGCAGCAGGAGTACTTAATTTGTGATCTAATTAATCTATTACCTCATAAACCTTAAGGGAAATCTCCGTAAAGAGAAGGCTGAATGTTACATGGAAATTCTCACTGCTACAAAGCTAAAGTCTTTAAAGGGGCAGCAGCAAAGAGCAAAACATGATGAGGCTCACATGCGGTACAGAAATGAAACATCCATTTCACGCGCACAGCTTCTGTGATATGTCATGCCCCTTCTGTGACTTATTATCAATGCTACTTTTATATAAACTTGATAATGAAACTACTTTTTCAGGACCATCTATTAAAAAAAACTGGTGAGAAAAAGAAGGAAATGCTTACTTTGGTGCCACTTACTCATTTGGCCACTGGGTGCCAGAGTAGATCTTCCTAAGTTCAAGAAGGTAGCCGTCACTAACTCGTGTCCTGTGGCACACTACAGTGTGTTAACAACCTCAGTGTTAACAACCTCAATTACACAGACACTATTCTTGATCTTTCCCAATGACTGTCATTATCCTGACTTCATTATCAATTTTTTAAATATCTATTTAATAAGGTATGCAAGCCCCAGGTTATTGATACTAGGTTAGAAAAAGTAGAGGGAAAATGATTTGCTATAAAACTTCTTAAAACAACTACTTTTTATCTTTATTATGTTTTCTTTTCTTTTTTTTTTTTTTATCATCGGTACAGGGGATCAAACTCCCAACCATGTGCTTGCAAGGCAGGCGCTTATGCCACTGAGCTAAATCCCCAGTCCCCTTTATTATATTTTCAATCTTTGCCTGTCTCTTTCTTTCTGCTCCCTTTTCACTCCATCTTGCCTCCCTCCTTCCTTCCCTCTCCTCTATGAGCTAGCACACACACACACACACACACACACACACACACACACACAGTATGTGAACACACAGTGAAAGGGTGACTGTCTATGAGCCAGGAGGAAAGTCCTCACCAAAAGTAGGTCATGAGACCTTGATCTGGGTCTTCTTGCTTCCACAATTACAAGAAAATAGATTTCTGTTATTTAAGCTTCATAGTCTGTGGTATTTGTTAAGGCAGAACACAGTGACTAACAGAACTAGGAAATATGGACAGGGGCTCTGGGCAGGCTCAGACCATTTTGTTCTTCTCTCTGGTGCACAAAGAAGCTGGTAGATGAGCTGCATGGCTTTAGATTGAAGTTCTTGCATTTTTATTTACCCAGCAGTACAGTAACAAGCAACCAACATAAGTTATCAGGTCATTCTACCTATAGAATGTAAGCATCTTTACTGCTTGGCATGTAGGGGTGGGCCTGCATATTTTATTGACAGATATGCTCTTACAGAATACTGCTCCATTTCCTCTACCCAAAGGCTTGGAGTTTATAAGTTATATGTGATAGATATTTTTAAAAGCTAGGCTTTGAAAGAAGAAGGGTTAAATTTAACAGACTTTCTCCTACTATTTCCTCATTTTGTCCTGCTAACTTTCACTTCTTTCCTGGTTCTTGATAAGGTTATATCTAATACAACTAAATTCTCAGTTGGCATATGTAGTGCCTCATGCAAAGATAAACATTAAAGCATATTTAAAATTTTATTAAGATTTATTACCAAATGTCTTTACCTTCATCAACTGAATCTGAAGTGCTGCTTTTATCCAGAGAAAGATACTCATTTTTATTCAAGTCCAGTGATCTTGCTGGCCCTCTACTCAGCCTCTTTTCTGAAGGTAACCAAGGACTCTTTTTTATCTCTTTCTCACTTTGGGACTCCTCCTTACCTAATCCCTAAAAGGTAAATAATATAAGTTAAATATTTTTTTAAAACAGCATACAATACATTAAAAATTTAATATTAAACATGCTTTAAAATTCTGCTCTTTGAAAGACATCTACAGAATTGTGTTTGTTAGTGTTAAATGACATTTGCAATGTTGCTGCCCATGAGACCATGATGTGTTAATACTACTGTATATCATCCTGAAGTATTGTATTAAAGAATAATAAGCAATACATTTATGAAGAATCTTATACAAAAAGAACTCACAGAAAGTTCACATTATATAAATCTCTGAAGCAGAAGGGAAAGGGTACACAGGAGAAAATAATAGACAGTCAGTCCTTTGAGATAGACAAGGGACAGGAGCTTGATCTATTCTGCTTTTCCAGCCAATACCTGCTCCAGCATCTCAAGGAAGAGAATTCACCCATCTTTCAAAACCAAAAATGAAAGCATTATGGAGGATCATTGGTCACAAAGTATACAGTGGAGGAGAAAAGATTAAAAGAGAAATTAACTTCATAAGAAGTTTGCAGGGACACAAAAGGCTATGCTTTTAGAAACTAAGAGATTAAACATTAAAATATATTCAATATATGATGCTACCTATTGTTGGAGACCACTACGAAGCGGCTCTGAGCAGGATTTAAATTTTACTGATAGGCTTTCTATCTTTATCTGTGAGTCTGGCCTAGGCCTAGGCCCTTTGCCTGGTGATGGGAGCTGATCCATAGTAAGTGAACCTCTATGAATCACTGGTCCTGGCTAAGACCTGTAGTGGCCTGTGAGGCCAGAGTTACCTCAAAGGGCAAGATAAAGCCACAGCTGGGGACACTTGGCTCCAACCCGAATTAACAAGGTAGAGACTGCAGCTGCAAAGATTACTCCTACAGTCTCACTTCTACCATGTCTTCATGATAAGTCAGTGCTACTGAATTGACTTGATTCATCACTTGGAAACATTCTTGAAGTGAGTCCCAAGGTCCTGCTCATTGCCTGCACTTTCCTCAGTTTCTCTGCCTTTTGTCTTTGGTCCTAATATATGTGGATTGATCCAGAAAAACTTTTGTGTTAACCCTCGGAGTCTTGAGCTTAATTAAAGGGGTTTGACCCTCCTGGAGCCCTAAAAAATCATACAATTTGTCTCTCTTATTTAACCTCCACTTTACACTCATTTGGGAGATAGAGGATCTAGGTCAGAACTCGATAACCTATACTTTCTGGGATGGCTGAATAAAGACACATCAATTCTATAATAAGTAAAATGCTAGGCACTAAAACATGAATGATATTGCTATGGTAGTACTCAAGAGCAAGGATACTATAATCAGGTTTAGTAGGATAATGTAAAAATCTGTCTAAACTACATGGCAAAGTACTTTCTTATACCCTGAGTATGTACATAATATTTCATCAGTGAAACAGATGCAAGAACATATATGTAATCCTTACACTTTCTGTCCCAGGAGATCCTTGAGCAGCAATGAACAGAGAAGCAACTCTGGAGAGGAAACAGGCTCCCACTGGCCTATGTTAGAAAGTAGAACAACGATGGGATCCAGGACACAGTTGATTAAAGATTTAGCCTACGCTAATCAGAGGACTGATTCTCCAAGCAGAGATTACTGCTCAAACCGCAACCTGATGTACTGGAGAGATGCACATTACCCAGTATGTGCTTACTTAGTAGACAACCCTGCACTTCTTTACAGAGAAGAAAGGGTATAAGAAAGTACTTTGCCATGTAGTTTAGACAGATTTTTACATTTCTCTGTAACTCCACATTTACGTTCCTTCTCCTGATGGAATTAAGCTGTATTTCTTAGTAGAAAGAATATACATAGATGAAACAGGAAAAATAAGTCATTTCAGTAGTTGGCATTTGGATGATTATTTTTTATTCTATATGTCACAAAATTTTATAAAATATTAATTGTGTAATTATGAAACTCATTATCTTGAAAAAATATTATTTGTGACATTTTGTTATTTCCAAATTTGTTGTAACTGAAATTAAAATAATGTAACATACAACCATACTGTTCTTGAATGTACAAAGGAAAAAAAGAGGGGCTGGAGATTTAGCTCAGCAGCATAAGTGTCTGTCTTACAAGTGCGAAGTCGTGAGTTCGACCCCTGGTACCAAAAAACAAAAACAAAAACAAAAGAAAAAAAAAAAAGAACCAAAGTTCTATAATAACTTGTACTCCATAATCTGACAACAGCTGTACTAAACATAAATAAATGTATGGTCTTAAAACATTGTTATCCTTTCACATTCCATTCCTTTTCTGAGAAAGAAGGCAGTTTTTTAGGGAGTGGGAGACAAAACTAGAGACGAGCAAATGTGTGCCTGTAATCCCAGCACTTGGGAGGTTGAGGCAAAAGGACTGCCTTGAGTTCAAGGGCAGGCTTGGCTACAGAGTGAGTTCAAGGTCATCCTGAGCTACATAACAAAACCCCATTAAAAAAAAAAAAAAAAAAAACTAGAGGCAAAAACAAACAGGTTAATTACTCCAAGTAGAGACAGAGAAGACACTGCCAGATTATTGAAAGGACTCAAGCCAAGATTAGCAGCAGTTCTGAGAACCCGGTTCTCAAAGTTGGACTTTGTAAAAGGACAAGGAGACTGCAAGAAATCCCCTATCTCGTTACCTGCCTCAAGAGAATGGCTTCGTCCTCTCGGTGAGAACACATTTCTTGTACCACTAATAAGTCCCTCAGTGTCTCTAGAGGCCTCAGTTTATGGACACATCCGCAGCACAAAACCAGACTGAGGCGGAGGCACGATGGATGAGGGCTGCCTAAGACAAGTTTATGAAGTGTGAGCCTTTCACACAAATGTGTTCTCCTTCAGGATCTTCTCAACATTTACTCAACAAAGGAGATACTAGGCGCTCCCTAGACCAAGGCAAAAAGCACCACTGCTGGCCATATGCAGGCGCATTTTCAATTCTAACAGTTCAGTTCTGGGATATTTAATGTGTGCTAGGCACTATTCTAAGAAGAAGAAGAAAAAAAAATATATATATATATATATATGTAATTCTTATTTTTAAAATCCTTTGAGTTATTATCTTCATTTTGTAGTTAAGAAAACAAGAGTAAGTAAATTAGTCTCGAGCAACTATTTCTAATATGACAGTATTTAACTTATTTACTGGTGATTTCTCACTGTTTATTTTTCTGAAATTCTGTATTGTTTCTACCCTTTTTATCTGTTTTTTTTTCTTTAAATAAAACAAAAGTAAGTAAATTAGCTTATTTTAGGTCATATAGTAAAAGTAAATGGTAGAATTTGAAGCCAAAGCCATCTTCCAACCCAATAAATTCAGTTTAGGCTCCAAATTTGGATCCCTATCAGAAGAACAAAAGCTGTACAACAGAAGCACTTTTCGTGCTTAGAACATGGACCTTTAGACTCTTCTCCACTAAGAAAATGACTCCCTAGGAAAATGACGCTAAGTCGGCAGTAAAAAATATGCAAAGTATGTGGGACATATTGCCGTGCTAATAAGAAAGGAAGTCATCAAACATTATTGGTCATTTATAGGTCCTGGGGATTTAGCTCAGCGGCATAAGCGCCTGCCTTGCAAGCAGGCAGTTGTGAGTTCGATCCCAGGTACCGGAAAAAAAAAAAAAAAAAAAAAAAAAAAAAACCCAAAAACATTATTGGTCATTTCTAAAGATAAAGAAGCCTTCTTGAGAGAGGGGCTCTTGTTGGCAGAGGGACCAAACTGAGTTTAACAATAATAATAATAATTCGAAGTGATTGCAACTCATTGACATTTAAAAACAAACACATTTATAATGATACTTGAAAACATTATCATTGAAAAAAAGGAAGAAACTTGCCAACTAACTATAAAACCCAGTAGGCACCTGGATCTGCCTTCTGAAGAAGGCAGTTTAAGTAGCAGGGGTTTAAAAAGCAAACATTATTATTCAGCCTGCTGCTCAAAGGCTCAGCTGCTCATTAAAGCAGATTCTCCCTACCACACACTATACTCAACCTGGGGAAAATCCTACCTACTACACATTCCTGCATCGTTTTTTATTCTTAAAATAGTATTTATCCTCCTTAGAGATGCTGCTCAGGAGACAGCCAGATAGCCCTGCACTTTACCCCCTTTGAGCAAAACCATGTACTTTCCCATATATAACCTTTGGTACTTGTAGTCTTAAACCTTATCTTCTAAAATACAGCAGCAGCCTGATAGCCTAAGTGTTTAAACATTTTGTATTCACTGGAAGAAAGATAGCCTCTTTAATAAATGGTGCTGGAAAAATGGGCTTTCCATATGCCAAGAAAACTAGACTCATGCCTATCAGCATGCACTAAACTAAATTCAAATGGATCAAGGATCTAAATATTAAAACAGAAACACTAACTCTACTGGAAGACAAAGTAGATAAAAATCTTGAAGACATAGGAGTAGGCAGAGAGTTCATAAACACAAACCAAACTGTATGGGAAGAACTTCAAAGAATCAGCAACTGAAATCTCATCAAAAGAAATCAACAGAGCAGAAAAGAATCTCACAGATTGGGAAAACAAATTTATGCCAACAGTCCCTTAGACAAAATATTTCTATCTAGACTGTATAAAGAATTGAAAAAAATCAGGTCACCCAAATTCAAAGACCCAATCCAAAAATGGTGATGAATATACACTTCTCAGATGAAGAAATACAAATGGCAAATAAATATATGAAAAAATGTTCAGCATCATTGGTCAACAAAAAATGCAAATTAAAACAATGCTGAGATTCCGTCTCCAGAAAGAATGGCCAACATCAAGAAATCAACCCATAACAAATGCTGGTAGGGCTCTGGGGAAAAAGGAATCCTTCTGCATTGTTGGTGGGACTGCAGAATGGTACAACTATGGTGGAAATCAGTGGGAAGAGTCCTTAAAAAGCTAAGATTAGAGGTCCCACTTGACCCAGCTATACCCCTCTGGGTGTTTTCCCAGAAGTGAAAACATCATACCACAGTGATATATGTACACCTAAGTTTATAGCAGCACAATTTGTAATAGCCAAATCTTGGAAACAACCCAAATGCTCATCAACCAAGGAAATGTATAAAAAACATGTAGTATTCTTATATAATAGAGTACTACTCAACTATAAAGAAGGATTGACTCAAGGCTTTTATAGGTAAATAGATGTGACTTGAGACCATGCTCATAAGTGAAATCAATCAGACTCACCTGTGGAAAGACTGTATTGTCTCCCTAATGTAAGAATCTGAAAGAGTAAATAAGATCCAAAATCTACAATACATATTGTGAAAGGGTAAGAAACTGCTCAAAGGGAAAATAAAACTGGGATAGGAGAAAGGCAAAAAAAGGAAGGGAAAAGGAAAAAGATATAAATTTGTATATATAAGGTAGCTAAGATGATTATACTACTAATGCTATTTATGAACAAGAAGAGTTAATACTCGTACGGTTTGATCAGTTTTACACATCCATATTCAGTAATTCAAGCAACTCTTTTGAAGATAAAAATATGCAATATAGCAACCATTGTTAAATTCATCTTGTTTTGAAAGCTCATATTGTTACTGTTTTAGGTTTTTTGTTGTTGTTGTAGTAGTTGTTTTTTTGTTTTTTCCCTTTAAAATAAAATTTAAAAAAGATTTATGGCAAACCTTAAAAAATATTTTGTAGACTGTACTTTTACATTATGATATTATGATTTTTATGATTAATGCATGGCAATGACAGATATATTTTTTAAAGGACAGTAGATACTAACTCCTTTTGATGAATTTCCATCTAGCGATTCTGTTTCTGAAACTCGACTGACTGATTCCCGGGTAGAACTGATGGTCTTGGATAATTTTTCATCTCCTTCCCCAGAGTCATCCACACTGCTTCTTCCTGGGCTTCTGTAAGAAACACATCACATTATCATAGAAACATAAGCTCCCGCTACACGAATAAGTGATTAGTCCCTCACTCAGGTTCTCTTCTGTTACGAATCATTGTGACAACAAATACTTAACTGTAATGTAACAGATAAGTCTCTATTTAAACAAAGGTCTCTTCTTAAATCACATGCAAGTCAACTTCATTCATGAAAATAAATCAGATACACTCATGTGAGATTCTATAAATTTCAGAAGCCACTAGGAAATTAAAGTAAAAGTGGCCACAACAGCAGCTAATCAAATGGATATTGCTTGTTTAACCATGAACAACCATGAAGCTTTGAAAGGTTCAAAAAGACTGAGTTGGATACCAGCCAGGACCAGAAGACAGTTTTTTTACTTTATTTCTTTGTGTTTGCAGTGATGAGAATTAAACTCAGGGCCCCAGAAATGTGAGGCAAGCGCGCTGTCACAGACCCAGCTGCAGTCCCAGAAGTTTACATCCCTCCCTTCTGACTCAGGGCACCTGAGATGGCAAATCCCTCCTCATGTGGGAGCTCCTGTTGTGTCCGTACAGAGCCTGCCAGTCACGCTCCACTAGATCCTTTCAAACTTCAGATGGTATAAGCAAAAACTTCCAAACGATGATGGGACCAAGATTACAATAAATGTCCTAGGATCTGCTTTTCCTTTCTCAGGTACAGAAAGAAAGAAGAACTTCTAAATATAAAAAAGAGCATCTAATTTCCAGTGCTCAACCTGATCAGGCAATTATTGCTCCCCAATAATCATTGTTACATACATTTAAAACTCTCCTAAAATAAAGTAGCAGTCTAAAATTTTATGCAATATTATCTTGAGGAAGCACTAAAAAAGCCAGAGGGTATTTCAACTCTGTTTTAGTCTTCCCAGATAACATGTAGGTCTGCTATCAAGCACTCCATCTTGGCAGTGATGGGGTTATGAGAGAGGCAAGCAAGAAACAGGGACCTTTGGGAAGAGCGTGGCAGCCGAGTGTCAATACTTTCAGATTTTAAAGAATGGAAGTGAGGTATGAAAAATACAGAGAGTAAGAGGGAGGAGAGGAAAGGAGAGAGTGAAAGTGAAGGCAAGAAATAGGAAAGAGCCAATGAAATCAAAGTTTGAAACAGATTCGTTTCTTTTAGAGATACAAGAAAGGGACAAACAATAGAACAGGGAATGAAGCTCGTGCCTCACATTCTTAGAAAGTACATGCCAGGCATGGTGGTGCACACCTGTAATCCCTCACTCAGGAGGCTGAGGCAGAAGGGGCACCATGAGTCCAAGGGCACCATGGTCTACATTAGCAAATTCAAGGCCAGTGTGCACTGCATAGGGAGACTTTGTCTCAAAAAAAAGAAAAAAAGTACACAATCACCAAAAGAAGAAAATAAAGCTTTGCTAGTAACTTCAGAAAACTGTCGCTAAGACCTTACATGTGAAGCACGTGGTTCAAAATATTTTTTCCTTCTTCAAAGACTAGAAACTTTTCAAATTGGCAAGGACGGTGAAGGTCAGCTGGTTCAGCTGCCTCATTTCACTGTGTAAACTGAGGATCAGAAAGATTAAAAGATTTTCCTGAGGTTGTTCAGCTACTTGATGGGCCAGACTAGAATACGGATTTTGTTTACCACAATCTAATATAAAGGTTCTCTACACTGGAACAGTTTCTTTCTACCCAGCTCTAGTCCCTAAGAGAAACCAGTAAACTTTACACTGGAAATTTTTAACTTTACAGAAAACTTATAAAATATGCATGTGCAACCATCTGAAAGACTATAAAATATTAATGCTAAGCTGAAGCAATATCAATAGGATCATACAACTAGAAAACCACTTAAATGAGTAAAATTTTTGTACAAACCTTGAGACTTTCAAATATTTCCTCTGTAAGGTTTATCTGCTATGGATTTTTTAAATAACAACTTTATTGAGATATGAGTCACATCCTATAAAAATTCACTAACTTCAAGTGTACATTTAGTTATTTGCAGAGTTGTATAGTTATCACTAGACCTAATTTTAGAATATTTTTACCACCCCAAAAAGAAACTCAGACCGATTAGCAGTCATCCACACTCATTCCTCCCTCTTGGTTCCTGGCAACTGCAATCTACCTTCTCTCTGGGTTTTGTACTCACTTTCATATGTAAGGAATTGTATAATACTGTAGGTGGTCTTTCGCTACTGACCTTTTAACTTAGCATAAAGTTTGCAATTTTAATATATTATACTAGTTCTTTTTATTGCATTGGTCTCAATTTCCACTGGACAAAGTGGACTTTTATTTGTACCAGTCAACAAAAATGTCCATTCTTCTGAATAAATAAAGTTGTCAAAAATACTTTTTCTCTACTTTAATTTTTTATCACATTATTATTCTCTGATGACTGTTATCTTGTATTATCACATTCCATTCCTATAATAATATAAACTCTATTCATTAATGTATTTAATACTTACTGAGTGCCAACCAATTGTATCTCCCAAATCACCTATCATCTAACTTGCTTTTTTTCTCAGTGCCCAAGGCCTTCACACTGAGCTACATCCCCAGATCATTTTTTTTCAGACAAGGTCCTGTCAAGTGGCTAGGTTACCCAATCTGAGTTCAAAATTGCAACCTCCTACCTCAGCCTCCCAGAGTGCTGCAATTACAAATTTGCACCATCAAACCTAGCTTTAACTTACTTCACTGACATCTGTAACCCGGGAGATGTGCCGTGTATTTCCCCAGATCTTCAACAAACTAACTCCAAGCAGATCCCAGATGACATAGTTACATACTTATCATTTCCCTGTATGTTCAGTGTTTACTCTCCTATTCAGCAAACTATTCCCTGTTCCTATCTTTCGTCCCATTCCACCACAGAAAACAGAAGCAAAGTGCACCAATGATGTAGTAAAATAAATTCAGAATTAACAGAGCCAAAAAGAATTCCAGTGGTTTATAAGTCTTGACATTTCAAAATGTTTGCTGTACCTTGGCTGCACATTATCTTCAACTGATGGTGACAAGTTTGCCATCTCTTCAGCATTTAAACCTAGCTCAGTGGCATAGTTCTGCTGGAGCAGTTGCCAGAATTCCTCTCTGGTCAGACTCTAAAAGGACAGAAACATCACACTGAGTATGTAAAAATATAAAAGATACTATACCTTTACACATTGACACACGCCTAGAATCCCAGCTACTTCAGACGCTTGGGTTCGAGGCTCCCAAGTTTAAAGTCAGCCTGGGCAACTTAGACACTGTTTCAAAGTAAAATTTCAAATAAGGATTGAGAATATACCCCAGCATACCCTGAATTCAATTCCTAGAACCTCGGAAAAAAAAGAGAAAAAGATCGGGAGGGGAGATTATACTAGTGATTCAAAACACAAACACTGGCATCAAAGTGATCTATGACACAGCTACTGAAAATCTGGTTTATGTAGTTTTTTAACCTTTTTATACTGCCATTTTCTGTAAGAGTTAGTAAAGCATTTGACAGAATTGATACAAGAAATAGATAAAATGTTTTGAAATAGAGTCTCTCTTTATTGCCCAGCCTAGTCTTGAACCCTGGTTCAATGATTCTCCTGCCTCGGCTTTCAGAGTAGCTAAGACTACAAATATGGTACCACCTCACCAATCAAATGATGATTTTTAAAAATTTTTGTTTTAAAGATAGCAAAATCCATCAAAACAAACAAAACAAAACAGAACAAAGCCAATCAAAACAATGCAGCAAAATTGGTACAGAACTTCAAAGCAGGATACTAGGAAAACAACAATAGCTACCATTAATATATCTTGCTATCTTCACAATAATTGTCCTCAAATGATGATTTTTAAGTATATAATAAAATAACTATTGTAAATGGGAAGTTAAAATGTTTAACATTTTTTAGTAAAATAATTATAAATGCATGGTTTCTGGCAATTATTGGTCGGAAATTCAACCTGCTTATGACTGCTCAAAGTCCTAAATATCATCCATAACATAACTGAATATTTGAACAGTTTCTAGAACTTTATGTTCTAGTATACTTTAAATTACATTTTCCTGAAATATCAAATACCACAACTTGGATGTTAGAATATATCCTTTGATTTTTTTTTTTTTTTGATATCCAGCTTGTATTATAGGTAGTATATCAGTCAGTGTTTAAATCAAATATAACAAACTCAAGCATTACATAGCAAACCAAAAACAATAAAAATATAACTAACAGTCTGGAGTTTAGCTTTATTGTTACATATACAATTAAGCAAATTAGAGGGAAGTAGCATTTCCTTGGAAGCATTTGTCAACAAGGCTATTTCTTTCACTCATATTACAGCTATTTACTGATCACCTACAAATGTGTACAACTACACTAGATGCTAAAGGGTGTAAAAATGATGTAGAAGTTAAGTTGGTGACCCTCAAACAACTTGTAATACAAATGAAGAGACGGGGAACATTCTTAAGTAAAGTTAAATATGGCGAGACATACTAATGCACTGAAGTACTAGTAGAATTAACACAATACAAAGGTCCAAAAGAAGGAAACATTGCTGGGGATTAGAGTGGTCAGAAAAGGATTTAAAATAAGCTAATGGAAAGACAGAAAATCAAGGAGATATGACAAAAGATGAGGGGAAAGAAATCAACATTAAAAATACACATGAACTTAACAGCATTTGCCTTGAAATCAGATAATAGTTTATCAGCCTAACAGGAGCAAAAATTTATACCTGGGAAACTGTTGAGATAAACACAAACTTACTGGGACCAAAATTTATATATGCCATGAATTCCTCCACAACATTCCCTACCATTTCCTTTTCTCCCCCTCCTTTGCTTTTCTGTCCAGTAGCTATGATAATTTTGTTTGTCATATTATATCTGATGAGCCTCATTGCCTTTCATAGAACCTTAAAGAGATTCAGAACAAAATTTCTGCACTTTAAACCAGTAGTTGCCAACTTGCCATGCATATAAAACAAGGATATTATAGGAACAGTTGATGAAAATTCACATCAAAAATATCCAAATAGATACCTACAGGCAAGGCATTTAAGCCAATTAAAACAACAAACCTCTATATTTTGAGCTGAGTTACTAAAGGGGATATCTGATCAATGCTCATTAGGACTAATGCATGTCTAGAATAGTAATGTTTTACTATTTACTATTTAAATAGCCACTTTTATGGTGGGCAACGTCTCTGACACACAATTTCCAAAGAAGAATAAAAAAGATTGTTAATGCTTTGAACTATTTCTAGGGTCACAAAAGAAACTTAGCTTCATAAAGAGAAGCAAGCAGGTATTTCAATATATTCATATGAGATTAACCTTTCACAAAAATTTTTCTGAAATAACAAACATTTCCAAAGATAGGCTAACGCGAACAAATAAGCCAATAATGAATGTTTATAGTTTACTAACCACTAATGAATATTCATGTTAACTAATAGTGAAGGAAATGAAACTTATAAGTAAAATGCTAACAACAAAAATGAAATTTACTTAACTTTGTTTAAAAATTTTTAACAAGTATTATGAAGTTAATGGGGTCACTTCGTATACTCCTTGACTTACTAATTAATGGGGTAAGTAGATGGGTAGATAGATATAACAGGTTAAGGGGAAACAACTCATTTAACACATCACATTGCAGACTTGCTAATTTGTTAAAAATAATTTTTTCTACAAAGTTGTCATAAACATGTGGTTATTTACAACTGTGCTGAACGTTCAAACACTAAAATATGCCCACCTGATATTCTTAATCGTTTCAATAATCGGCAGCGAATCAATCTACTTAAGTAACCTTAAAAAACCAACACAAACTTTAAACAAAAGCTGACCACCTACCTGTAAACCAAGTAGAGTCTCCTCACTTCAACCTACAGAGTAGTTTAACAACAATAAAAGATGAACCAAGTGGTAATCAGATAAGGCTCAAAAGTCAGCAGATCAATTTCTGGCCCAGAAAGTCTTACATGCTAAGTATGCTGCTAAGTCTTTTTCCACAGCAGAGCTTCAAATATTTAATGACAACTATGCGAAATCACTGCTTTGATTTCCTAATTTTGTGGTAAGATGCTTTTTCCTGTAAAAGACACGTCCCAGTGTAGTTTAAAGTGCAGTATCTGCACTTCCTGGTTTGTAACATCAGTACCCTCGCCAAGCAGCAGGTCAGAAGGAAGAACTGGAAGTTATACCTCACCCTACAGGTTCCTAAGCCACACCCACTACAGGAGGGTAGGTAAACAGGGTTTTATTAAAGGGACAGTTCCTAATTTCTTCTGTTCTACTCACAGATTAGAGACAAGCTACAAATGAAAATACCTTGATTATGTTCAATTAATATAAAAACCTATTACAATATTACTCTCACTTGAAAATTAAAAATTAGAGTTCCTTCTTTATGATAGTTTTGAATCATTTGTAAAGGTTATTATTTATTCATATACCACTTCTTTAATACTCACAACATTCCCAACACATTCCCACCTTAATGACTATCAATGATTACACCTTCTGAGTATTGTAAATGGAATATCAAGAAACAGCAGGAAGAGCCAGCTATTCAGGTGGAGCAATTCCAATGAGCACCTGGCACATCTTTCATCACAGAAAAGTTTAAGGTAACATCTGGTTACTCAATAATTCTTCCCTTTGAAAATATTTCTGGCCATAGTTGATTGAATGTTCTCAGTGTGAACAGTCTCAGCACCCCAGTCAAAAGACACACATTGGCAGAACAAGAAACAAAACCAGATGAAATGCAGTATGCAAGAAACACAAATTCAAAAAGAAATTCACAGATTAAAACTTAAAGGATGGAAAATAACATCCCATGCAACAGGAACCTTAAAAGAAGGAGAAGTAGCTAGCCTCATTTCAGACAAAGTGAATTTCAGGCTAAAAGTGATCAGAAGAGACAAAGATCACTGCATATTTGTTAATGGAAAAATTCAACAGGAAGAAACAACAATTATAAACATACATGCATCAAACAGCACACCTAACTTCATAAGACAACATTGTACCACAGATCAGCTAGACAAAAATATCAACAAAGAAATATCAGAGTTGAATCAAACCTTCAAATATAGGAACTTTCTAGCTATCTATAGAATGTCCCATTCAACAACAGAACATACATTCTTCTCAGCAACACATGGAATTTTCTCCAAAATAGACCACATACTAGCCCATAAAACATTCTTAAGTAAATGCAAAACAATCAAAATTATTCCATCCATACTATCAGATAATATGGCCATGAAAGTAGAAATCAATGGCAAAATAAGTCACACAAACTATGCAAAAACATGAAAATTAAACAATAACCTCTGGAATAATCAATGAGTGACAGATGAAATTAAAGAAGAAATCAGGCAATTCCTACAATAAAATGATAATGCCAGTACAACATATCAAAACCTATGAGACATAGCAAAAGCAGTCCTGAGAGGGAAGATTATAGCAATGAATTTTCACATCAGAAAAACAAAGCAAATTTAAATAAATAACATAAAGATGCACTACAAGGCACTAGAAAAAATGAGAACAATCCAAATTGAAAGCTCCTACCAAGAAGGAAATTACAAAGAACAGAAATTAACTAAATTAAGATTAAAAAAATACAAAGAATCAATGAAGAGGTAATTCTTTCAAAGAATAAACAAAAAAAAAAAAAAAAAAAAAAAAAACAAGCCCTTAGCTAATCTTACCAAAATAAAGACCTCAATCCATTCAATTAGAAATGAAAAAGGTGAAGTCACAATGGATTCCACAGAATTTAAGATAATGAGCAGCTATTTAGAGAATCTGTACTCTAATAAAAGGAAAAATGCAGCAGAAATGTATAGATTCCTAGATACATAGGAACTACCAAAGCTGAACCAAGAAGATGTAAAAATCTTGACTAATCCAGTATTAGTCAAAGAAATTGAGGAAGCAATAATAAAAAAAAAAAAAACTAAGAAAAGCCCAGGTTTTCACAGATTCACTACTGAATTCTGTAAGAAGCTTAAAGAAAATCTAACACCAGTACTCCTCAAACTCTTTAAGGAAATGGAGAGGGAAGCAGTACTCCCAAAATCATTCCTGGAAGCAAACA